TGGCATACTGAATGATAGTACGCCTGATGACGCTTTTTTGTTGATAAAAATCACCTGTTAAAATTTGGTAAAGATAATTATGTGAAATTAGTTACTCTATGTGAAGTCAGGTACAAACGTCCCATATGTGAAAACTTGAGAAACTGACCCTCGAGTTCTACATGACATCCATCGTAATAAATTAACATCCTGAAACACGACAATTGATTTGCTTAAAACCTCGATTTGAGCATATACCTTTCTCCATAAAACAGAATGACACCATTGCCGTTTGCGGAATGACTTTGATTCATAGACATTTCGATATGGTACCTAAGGGCGAAATAGGGGAAAATGAATTGGTATAATAGTTTGTTTATATGTATAGATTTGAAATTGTAGACCAATAGACTAGGCGATTTTCTTTTTGCTATCAGATTGGGGATTTGAACCACCCCAGCTAGGATAGTCACATAATATTAAATATTATAATATGCATCAGCTACGGTCGAGAACACAAATCTATGTGATTATTGGGTTGCATCTTCTAGCACAGACAACGATAAGCGCACACTAGCCCAAGCGACGTGGTAATAATAAGTGGATTGACGACTTTATGCTCTGATAATTCCAAAAAGTAACCCCAGTGTAACTGAATTTTTAACAAAACAACTGATAGTAATTATCAGATATGTAAGCACGATTTGAACATAGCGAGACGAAATTAACAAATATAAGAAATTGATTGAATTAGACATTTGGACGTGTAGTAAAATAAGAAGCAAACAATTTAGGAATTCCATGTTAATCGACAAGTTAGTCAGTCACAGACAACATAGAACCTGGCAGAAACATGTATTTAACCAAGTTCCTACATGTCAGAGTAACGATGAAAGACAAATCAAAAACGAGGAAAAACAGAAGAGGAATAACGATATCAATTATAGGAAGATTAACATAAAACATATTTCAAAAGGAACAAAAGAAACAGAAGAGTTTAAAGTTTTAAAGAACGCTACGCTGAAAACTTAGAGGAAAGTAAATAAGCAGTAAATCTGAGTAGTTGGAATCAGCCTTGAACTCACCAAGCCAGGAAGTTCACAGTTTGATGGACCGATGTTACACCTCGGTTTGGTTGACCCTAGCAATTACATAACCTGCTCCTTTGATAATCGCCGTTTAGTTTTCGATTACTGTCTTTAAGGACTTCTAGAATCAGAATGCGATGTTTCGATTTTCCGTATCGCTTTAAGTTTGTTAGAGACCTCTCGAATTCCGTAGGTTTGTCGTCAAGATACACTGATAGCCTGAAAGTGACAATCATAGTTACCTAACTTACGTTGTTTCCATTTCGAAATGTTCCTACATGGCTACTATTAAAGAAGGCCTACTCACTGTCTTCTTGTAGCATCGTTGTTGTTTATGAAATTGAGAGGAAGTGGAGCGAATGTCCGGCGCTTTAACCGGGTTGGTGGATACTGAGGATCCACATAGGGGAGTTGGAAAACCCTGATTCCATACCAACGGTGCACATGGGCTCCACGATCCCGAGGGAACAAATGGAGTATGAACTTATTGTTGGTCACCGGCTGCTATGGGACTGAATCTCCTAACGTTGCTCTAGTGCCTTGCGGATTAGACCTTTGGGCCAAAAGCACGGAGATTGGCCCCCTAAAAAAGCACCTGCTTCGGTCCGAGAACCCGGGAAGCATTCCAGCCCTTAAACAAACTGAATCATTTGTGTGGTGCATCCATGTACCAATGTTTATGCGTTTAAATAAATAAATAAATAAATATTACATAACTTACGTTGATTCATGATAGTAAATTTCAACAATATCCACAACTTCCATACTAATAATTATTACTTGAGTTTATATTTCAATAAAACTATATGTTTAAACTTCACTTAATGGTTTTTATTATTTGAAAACATAGATATTGGTACAAGGAGGCACCAAATACATATGCGCCACACAAATCTCATTTGATTTGTGCGAGGGCTGCGATACTGTCCGGATGCCCAAACCGAAGCAGGGGACCACACCTGGAGCCTTCGACCTAAAGGTCTGATCCACAAGGCAGTGGAGCATCGTGAGGAGATGCAGTCCCATGGTAGCCGGTGACCAACGATTGGTTCATACGCTATTTGTTCCTTCAGGATCCTGGAGCCCATGCGATGACAACTTTTGAGGAGATTCAGCACCGACTTTGTTTACATTCAATTTAGTGAGTATATACAGGAAAACTATGATCAGCAAATGTCATAATTTAGGGTCCCTCTGAACTTTTATAGAGAGATAAAACCGAAAACATATACGGCTACTGATTAGGGAGTGAATTTCACACTATGAGTTATTGTTATTCTTACACCTGCAATCTCATGAAGACTAGATAATGAATCCGCAGATATTCGACGAATCACACTAAATTAAACTCGGTGGTTAAAATCAAGTGCGTATATTCGGTGATACAAAAAAGTCGATAGTGTGACGAAATAAAAGGGAAGAGCAGTACAACCATTAAGTAGTATTTATTAAGAGATGTAGTTAAAAGTATAACCAAGAAAACTAGCAGAAAGACCATCACTCAATTATGAAGGATGCAATAAAATGCTGCAGAACGATTGGTATTAACTTTTACTGAGTCATATCTGACAACGTCCCTAGTATCCGAGTTGAACAGTAATTAAGACCCCGACTGGAGAACCCTGATAAGTTAACAGATGTCAGTCTCTTAAAATTATTTTTCATACCACAGCTATTATGAAATGATCGCTGTTGGCTTTCCTACCCAATTCCAACATCAGCAAATAATGGGGGTTATAAAAGTCTCTCGGATGATACTTGTGAAATATAACCAAGTTACCGAAGTCAATATTTCAAGATGGTGACACTAATTGAATCACATATCGTCGCTAGATGTCAGAAATGTATGTCCGATAAATATGTTATAACTACAGGTATATCCTGGCGGATTTGATATCGAGAATGAAAACTGACCCAATATGGTTTTCGAACTATCGAAACAATTTTATAGTGGTTGTTGTGCTAACTCAGTATTAAGTTAAATCATGAGATACCAAAGGAATCAGTGGTTCATCATACAGGATGTTGTGCGCTATGGTAAATGATAGCCCATAACTATTAAATTAGTTCGTCAACCGATATTCAAATCAGCAAAGTTAAATGTTACAAAGAAAACGTATTCCCCAATCTTTCTGTCGAATTTATCACCACCCCAAATTGATGTCAAGTTTAATAAAATAAAATAACAGTACCTAGGTTAACTAACCGGAGTAAAAACTCTGTGTTTCTATTTATTTATCTAAACATAAACATCGGTACGAGGAGGCACCAAATATATATGCGCCACATAAATGACTTAGTTTGGCTGGAATACTGCCCGGGTGCCCAAAATGAAGCATGTACTTTTTTAGGGGACCACTTCCCGAGTTTCAGAAGAGACCCAAATCATAGAATACCTGATTTTAAACGTATCGTTTAATAGTTATATTTGGGTTTCACTTTAGATATGCTCTTGGAGGTCAAGTATTTCTTATTTGGCTTTCCGATGGCTGACGTCATGTGTGGAAAATACCTTGTTGGATTGGAAATCAAAGATGGTATTATCATGATTGCTGAAGGTGAGGATGAAATGCAGCTTTCTGCAGACTCTAGGTGGCAACAAAAGAATTTTCGACGTACACTTAACCTATTCTGAGTACAAAATGTTTTGAATTCGGTCGATCAATGCTTAGTTTGACGCTAGGCACAGTAGCCAAGGGTATTGATCTTTGATGTCATATGAGCTGCTGTAGGTTGGTGAGTGACCAGACCTCCATACAGATAAAAACCCCGTTCGCCCACTGACAACCTATACATGGGGGAGACAAGATATTTACTACCTTGTCAAAAAGCGATTACACTGTAAGGTATTTAAGTATTTATCTCTCTACATTGGTGAAGCATTAAATGAAAAGACGTGAAGGTTGCACGTGTTTGATTTGCCTTCAGGGCACTTCTCGAATGTATTACGGGGAACGAATGGCCGGAATTTGTCAGTAGTCTGAGTACTTTAAAGTAGACTTCATTTTAGTGCTTTAATAATGCTAATGAATGCATTCAGTGACATAAGTCCACAAGTGCAATAGTTCTATGTGTTACGAGTCAGGTGTTCTCACTTTTTCAAGACAGTAATAGATTTGGATGCAGCAATCAGGTTTTGACCTGTAAGCAGGTCTCAACATAAATCCACTAATTTTAGTTTGGTTAAGTGGCTAGTACTAACTAGAAGAGAATGTCTAAGAGGGAGTTTAGGAAGCTGCTGTAAACTCTTATCAGATTGCAAACATACAAGAAATACAGAGTTCCAGGATTTTCTTCAGAGTTTACAAGTTAGAGGAACACTCTGAAGGTGAATTCACTAATGGTAGGTAAAAGCAGTTTATATTGGTGAAAATGAGCTTATGAAGATCGGAAATCTATGTGAGCGATTTAAAGAAAAGTAGTGGTCTGAAGCCATGGTTAAGTGCGATTCAGAACCTTATTAAACAGAATACATATGAGTTTGTTGTGATTGAGAAGGGACGTTCTCACAGTGCTCAGCCGACAGAGCTACCTACATCAAAAGCTCATACCTTAGTTCATCTAACCACCCTAAAACAGTAGTGGGGAATATCTAAGTAACATGGAATAAACATACAACGTTAACAAACGAACAGACCAGATTTGAATACGCCGAAAAAGCCGCCTCCAGAATAAAATAAATTGGCCGCGATTTCGCAAAGCAGTTAAAACGACACTGAAAAATGATTAACGTAAATTAAATCAAAAATTCATGGAACGTTATCTACCGAGCAATTTACTTTGGAAAATCGCAGGTTTTTATGGCAATTATGAATTATGTATTGACCATTCACATAACGATTCTGTTAGTTGGACGTTATCTTAACTAGATTCGTTTGCCTGCTGTACATACTGATCATGAATGGCCTGAAAACCATTGAAGAGCAATTGTCTATGTCGGAAAATGCAGCACTTGCATCACCTGAACTGTCTGAAAGACATTCTGTGGATTATGATGGACCTTTAAACATATTTTACACATGCGATTGTGAACTTAAAAGCGTTCTTGTTAACTTGAGGAATGCGGTGATATGTCGATCAGCGAAACCTCAAGTCATGAAGGGCACATCGTCACTCCTTGTTTTCAAACGTCTACCATCAAACGTAGATCATGACTCTTTCCGGTAAGTTGATAGTTTATTATGTGCTTACTCGTTTACTTACCAAAATAAATGATGTATTCACGGATAATATTGTTAAAAGCGGTTCATTATTCGTTTAATTTAATGATAACAATGCACATCCATATAAGGTTCAAGATAGGCCATGCTGAAGAGGAACACTTTCGGTGAATGCTTCACGAAAACAGTAATATATATTTCAGTTTGAAATCACTTGAGAATAGGAAAATATTTATGCTTAACTCAAGCTTAATTCTATTCGACTTCTCTACGTCACTAACTAAGTTTTTATATCTTCAGAAAATTTAAATGAGTGACTATGAAAATATATCATGAAATTCATTTTAGCTAGAATTTAAAGGATATTGCTACACATTACGTCAGTAGTCGATCACCAAAATACTAACAAGCGTATTCTTTGTTTATATATTGACAAGATGACTAAATTCTAATTGAACGAAAACCGTATATAGGAAAATCTTTCAACAACCATTTTCGGTCATTACTTTTACTTCTTGATTTTAGTTTATATAAGAAGTGTACAATTAAAAATGTGCATTTATTTTCGAAATATGTTTTCATTTAAAATTACTCAGAGGCTGGGGATCTGAAAAAAATATTTAAAGTTTTCATTTTACAATAATTCGTTTCATACTGATTATTCAGGTTGCCCAATTTGTCTTTTATTATAGTTATGGATAAATAAATATTTCTAGATAGTGTTATACGTGAGTTTGTAAATAGTTCATAAATAAGTAATATATTTGTAATTTCTAAATGAGTAGAAAAATTAGATTTTCTGACGTTTCGTAACTTACTGTAATCTACTTCTTCAGAGAATAAATAACCGAACCAAAATTGGTTATTTATTTATGATAATCTACCCAATGCTAAATTTATTCAAAATTATCAAGTCGAACCTTGGTGATGATACTTGCAAACTCATTAGTAAATAGTTCATTTTTTTCATCAAAAGAAATAAATTATAGTCTTAATAATTAACATTGAATTAGTAAAAATAAATACTGAATGCAATGTTGAATGAAGATTTTGCTGAACTAATATAAAATAATATTGTTGATGTATAGTCGACAGTTGTGATGTGATAGACAAAAGTAATGCATTCATCACTAGTACTTTTTTAATTTTTTGAATAAGGTTCAAACTCGTCTTGATTCGAGCTAACAATAGTAGTCTTTGTATGTAAAAGATATTGATTATATCTTTGATTTGACAGAAAACGACACGAAAAATGGTTCTATTAATTTTTATACCACTATTGTTTTAGTGATCTTATTGATTTTTAAAAAAAATTTTTATTTGACGAGACTATAATCTATGAACGAACCAATCATATTTAAGGTGGCAGATCTTGGATTTTCGCGAGAAATTCATTCACTCATTTAGCTAAATACCATTTTGGTATTATAGCTGATGTCAGTTCATGATGAAAACATTAAATCTAATTTCTAATTCTAACATCCAACCGTAAATCTTTATCCTAACTCCTCATAGCTGGACCAGACAACATTCCAAAAAGGCACTAAAAGCAGACGTAACAGTAACTGCAAAGATACTCAACATTCTCTTCAGCAAAATTTGGGATGAAGAACAAATACCAACAGACTGGGAAGAAGGACACCTAATCACGATACCGAAGAAAGTCTACCTCAGCAAGTGTGAGAGCTACAGATGCATCACTCTTCTCTCAATACCAGGAACAGTCTTCGACAGAGTATTGTTAGACAGAATGAAGGACATACCAGGGAAGCATCACTGACGAGCACGGGGGATCTCATGCAGATGTCAAAGCGCGGATCGGCAAAGCAAGAGCAACATATCTACAACTGAAGAACATCTGGAACTCAAAACAACTGTCAACCAACACCAAAGTTAGAACTTTCAATACAAATATCGAGACAGTTCTACTGTATGGGGCGGAAACTTGCAGAACTGAGAAAGCCATCATCCAGAAGATACAAGTGTATATTAACAGTTGTCTACACAAAATACGTCATATCCGTTGGCCAGACACTAACAGCAACAACCTACTGTGAGAGAGAACAAACCAGATTGTAGCGGAGGAAGAAATCGGGAAGAAGCGCTGAAAGTGAATAGCACACACATTGAGGAAAGTACCCAACTGCTTCACTAGGCAAACCCTCATCTAGGACCCTCAGGGCCAAAGGAAGAACATTTTACGTCGACAAATGGATGAACAGTTTCATACAGTTTGACTTTCTAAACTAAACTATATGTCATTTCTATATTTGATTATTTTTAAAACATTTTTACAAAGTGATATTTTTAAAAGAATATTAAATACAATAGTTACTACTGTGGTGCAGGTTACCTATATCCCCATAAGTAGTATAGAATGGTGGTCAGGCATAGGATGTATTTCAGTAGAAGATCGATAAGGAGAACACGGGAATGGAACGCAATCGGTATGAAAATGCATGAACAATGAAATATGAGACAATGGAATGATATTTGCAAAAGGAGCAGTCAGGTTTGAGGCGATGGGTTGATAGTTCGCAAACTAACCATTTACTAGATGGTTCTCATATTTTAGCGAGATGATCTGTAATTTCGTGTGAAATATATTCGCTTGTCGTCACTCGCGTTCTTGTTCACCATAGTATTACTTAGTTATTCAGTCCGTCACAGATGACATAGGCTGTGATATGAATGTATATCTATCCATGGTGTCATATGAAAAATCAGTAATAGGATGAGAAGAAACTGATAAAATAAAAACGAACTAGGAAAGAATAGCAATATCACTTGTATTATGAAACTAAGCAAAAGCTGTATGATACGAAACGTTCATGTTAAATGAAAGAGTGAGAAATATTGGATAGGGATAAATTGGAGATTTAAGAAAAGATAAAAAAAGATCCAACTGAATCGCTGCTACAAATTTTGAATTGTAACACAAAATGCCTTCAGTCAAGTCAATATACAATTTATAATTAACTTCAAACGTAGAACAAATATTCAGAGGCCCAAAATTATCACACTGAACTAACTTGACAAAACAAAATTGATGAAATGACTAACAACAGATTTTAAATAATGATATGAGTAATGATGGTAAGAAGGATAAAACATTGAGAATATAAAGAGGAATAATATATATTTGTAAAATCTCAGCGAATGAATTTTAAGTAAATCCAACGTTTCGCCCGGCAATCTGCTCCAAGTTTTTTCAAGGAAACTCTATTTTCCTTGGACTAGATCGCCAGGCGAAACGTTGGATTTACTTAAAATTCATTCTCTGAGATTTTACAAATATATATTATTCCTCTTTAATGACTCACATTAACTCGGCGCCCAAATATTGTGAAACTATTCGTTCAAATTTAGACGAAAGTTCTTATTTATTGTTCTGCAATCACATAAAATTGAGAATATAGTTTGGAAAATAGAGCAAACTCATGTGATAAATGTATGGAATGATATTAGAATTCTTTATTCAAGAGGATGTAGCAAAATAAAATTACTTGTCAAATTACATGTGACTCTGTATCCTGTCACTCAGCATTTTTAACGACTGATAAGAATTATTTCTAATCGTATATTTAAACTATTGAATACAACTCTATTAGACAGTTTCCACCTCCATTGAATTTGTTCGCTAGAATATTTAGTGGATTATCAGTATGGGGTTGTGAAGATTATTAACTTTTTGATCGTGGATGAGGAGTCGTACAATAGGACGAAATGGCCGTCCAGTGCTTCCAGGTTTTCAATGTGTGGTCTAACATCAATCGATTGATGATCTGAATCAAACATTTTTGACGTGTTTACACACACTACGCTTATTTTAGGTCAGTAGTGAATTTCAGGATTGTAAGTAGTTAGGTCTGGATAATATATATCCCAATTAGATTGAATGTTATTATTATTACTTTGGTGCATGTTACTTACGTCGACATAAGTAGTATATAACACCAGTTAAAAGAGAAGTGCCTGGTATCAGAAGGTTGAGAAGATCGAGTCGAAATGAACAGGAAGAGAGAGTAATTGTTATGGCAATGAAGGAACGATGAAATTTGAGACAATTGTTAGAATATTTCCAAATGGAGCATTTTATGTATGGTTCATATATTTTACCAAGATACTACGATAATTTGTATTAAAACACTTTTGGTTGTTCCCTCACCTGTGTTCTACTTCGTTGAACTACTACTAATACTCATAGTACTACTACTACTCATACTACCATTACTAATCACCCTACTATATAGTTTACTATTACAAGGATAAAAACTTCTGAATTGAATTAAATAATTGCAGTTGAAATTTCTGAAAAAAGTTTGACATACTACTACGAAAAAGTTTATATCTATTTAGATTTATGTTTTTGTCTGTTCAATATCATTTTTGACAAGATTAAATTATGTCATTACAAATAATAATAATAATAATAATAATAATAATAATAATAATAATAATAATGGTAAGAATAGTGACAATAATAATAATAATAATGATAGTTGACTTTAGTTACATTAAAAACAAAAGCATGAAATTGTTTTTGGTGAGCTCGTGACATCCTTTTTTTGCATGAAAAGTATCGTAAAAACTGACTCGTTTTCAGGATAGATTGAAATCATCATATATTTTTATATTATAAATATTTATGTAATAATAAATTGCAAATCGCTTGTCAGAATTACTTATTATTATTAGTAATAGTAGAAATAGCAGTAATGTTACTTACATAAGCCTGTTACTACTCGTGGTGGAGCAAAGGCCGCCCACTACCATTCTCCATTCAACCCTTATCCTGAACAATCCTTTCCAGTTCTTTCCAGTTGCTATTCATGCTTTTCATGTTTTCATGTAATTTTCGACACAGTGTGTTATTTGTCCTTCGTCTTTTCCATTTCCCTTCAGGATTATAAGTTACGGCTTACCTCGTAATGCATTTTGATGATTTCTGTGATGTATGTTTTATTCACTTCCAATATCTTTTCCTAATTTAGTGATCAGCTGGAAGTTGGTTTGTTCTCGCTCACAGTAGGCTGTTGTTGATGGTGTCCGAACAACGCACATTCAATATCTTGCGTAGACAATTGTTTATAAATACTTGTACTATTTTGATGATGGTTGTGGTAGTTCTCCACGTTTCAGCTCTGTTTAGTAGGACTGTTTCGACGTTCGTGTTGAAGGATCAAATATATATAAATGAATCAAGAAAACTGGTCAAGCACACTTAAACTTCATAAACGTTCTTTCGTCCCAGTATGGGACTCCTCAGCAGTGTGTGTTCACTACCTCGCGGGTGGGATTCAGACTCAGGGCCCTCGGTCTCGCACGCGAACACCTAACCTATAGACTACCGTACCGACATCCGACGGTGTTAATATCGAACTTCAACCACTCCACAGTACTGCGCAACCGTTCTCTATCGTCTTTAGTGAGCGAACGTCCCATCACTGACACGGATATACCGCACTGGTCAAGGTTTCTCACTTGAACTCCAACAAATTCATTTTGAAACCAATCACTAATGAACATAAGATAATTATTAGTAAAGGGTTGTGGAGATTTTTGGGCTTTCAGATTTTCAATAAACGTCTAACATTGATCCATTCGTGATATTAATCTAAGCTCAATAATCTCCACAACTCCTTACTGATAATCAAATTGAACTATACAAAACTTACAAATCACTAAAACTAACCAACTGAAATAGTCAAGTTTTTGTTGTTTTTGTTGTTGTTGTTGAAAAAGCTGATTAAGTTATGCATACTTGATAAACTGTTCACTTAAAAACGAATAAAAAACACAATACAAAAGTAAATGAAGAGTAGAGAGAGAGAGAGATGTTTGTTTCTTCCAACTATCGACTCAATTTTTTTCATCAAGCATGAAAGGACTCAATTAAGATTGTTCATTCATTATTTTATGTATTGATGAATTATGTAATCGTTATTCCTCTTAACGTTATAATACTGATAGTTAGTTTCATTCATTCATTCATTATTATTATTATTATTATTATTATTATTATTATTATTATTATTATTTATGAATATATAAATAAATCGGCATTTTTTCTGCATAGGAATCAAATTATACTCAGAAAACAGTGTAAAAATTAGTTATTCCACTTGAAAGATACACTTAATTGAAGCAAGCTGAACTAAAAAAGGGGGAGTGAGAGGGCAAGAGAGAGGGGGGGAAAATAGTACTAATTTCAGCTTCATGATGTCATTAATTTCTAACAAGGTAGTTCATAACAAAATTAAATTATACTTTGGTTTAATTGATCATTTGAGTCTCTCATATATTATCTATACTTATATATAGATTGTTTATTGACAAGAAGAAAATTATTATTTAACAAACTACAACTTAAAACAATGAATAATAGAAGAGAAAAATGTCTATTCTGATTTAAACAAAATAGGGTAGTATAAATTAAGGGAAATAATAACACTACGAACACTACAATGTCTAACGTAAACACATCGAAAATATAACAAACAAAAACGTAGCTATAAAGCTTACTAACTATTCAGTAGATTATATTCATCATTACGTCAAGTTGAGTTTAGGTTTACAATCTTGAATGGCTAATGTAAGATGAAAAAACATTACTAAGTACTGGTAGATTTAACTGTTCATATTTTTGTGAGATCAAAGAAAAACAAAAAGAAACCTTTCTTTGCTCAAGTTCATTAGTCAGCTTTCTAAACTGTTTTGTTTTGTGTAGGTTTATAATTCTAGCAATAGTAATAATGAGTCGGCAGTTTAGCTTATATGAATCATTTTCTGAAGTAAAAGGGGTCATTTAACAATCGAACAATCTTGTTTCTTTAACCGTCATGTTCTGAGACTTCACAGTATAATAATTTCTGTTTCATACTTTGTGTCAAGTAAATCCAGATAACTTATTGATATTATAGTTATCAAAGATAATAGGTTTAGATGAAACTAGCTATTTCAAATGGGATACTAAAGTGCTAATGGGGATTAAATTAATGATTTGATAACTGAAGCGACCCACAAATTCTGAATAAATAGATTTCAATAAGTAGAAATACTGAGTAACTGATTAAATACATCATTCTAGTCATGATCAATAGAGTACAATAATGATGAATTTGCGTTACCAAACAGTGACATTGAAAGGTGGTTGTGTTATATTGCCAACCAATCATATATAAACAAGTAAACCAATGGATGATGGCTTAGTGTTCGAAAAGTCATGCTGTCCATTATGTGACCTAATGGTCCTAGATTGGATCTTTGACAGATTCATGAATGTACAGTGTCAAATAGTCCCATACTAGGATAAGATAGCTATCCAATACTTCTTGATCTTCAACGATTGTTTAGTTTAGGTCATTTCGTAGTGTTAACTATAAAAGTAAACAAGGTTACTATTTATAAACAAACTGCTGGACTAAATACTATTACCGTATTGTTTATCAAAACACAGACAAAGAATTTATGATTGAGATCATGAATTGATTAATGTAAAATCACCACTGAAAAGCTGGAAGCACTGGACAGCCGTTCCATCCTATTGTGGGAATCCTCAGCTGTGCGCAATCACGATCCCGCCCTGTGGGATTCAAAGCCAGGGCCTTCAGTCTTGCGCGCGAACGCTTAACCAATCCACGGAATTGCGCGACCGTCTTCCATTGTACTGAGGTAGATACGTGTCTCTATCGGACACGGATTAGCTCCACTGGTTTGGTTGGGGTTACACATTAACACCGTTGGATGTCAGCTGGCTCAGTGGTCTAAAGGTTAAGCGTCCGTGCGCAAGGCTGAGAGCCCTGGGTTCTAATCCCGCAAGTGAGATCGTGGATGCGCACTGTTGCGGGGTCCCACAATAGGATGAAATGGCCGTCCAGTGATTCCAGGTTTTTAATGATGATTTTACATCAATCTGTTCATGATCTCAATCAAAAACTTAATCTCCACAACCACATACTGAAAAAAGAATTTATGAACAGAACCATTTCTGACAAAACAATCAATATTTTTCCTTTCTTCTATCAGATTTCATTCTGTTTCCATTCATTATTGAAAAATATTTTAAATCATGGTTCTCTAATAAATGTAATAAAAGTAACCCATTTTGAATTGTTATCATTCTTATTTATTTTTAAGTGTTGAAATCAACAATCACAGAAGTGAATATAAAACAATTGAACATGCAAATAATATTTGTTTAAGTGAATCAGCAACACCACCAACACCATCAACACCACCAGCTACAACAACAAAAACATCATCACCACCTTCTACAGCTTTACCACTGGATGAAGGATCACAATTAGCTTATATACAAGATGTACGATTTCATATTAATCAATTAAATGGAGATGATAATAAATTATTTGAACGTTATAATTGTTTATTAATACAATTACGTAAAGAGAAACGACGTTATCATTATTTAATTAATCGTTATCAAAGATTATTTAAACAACAGAATGTTCTGGAGACTTTCTCAAATAATTTATTATGGAATGTAAATAATGAAATAAAAGATTATGATATTAATAATTATAATAATCATAATGATTATGATAATGATCCTATTCATAAACTAGATTATCCTAATTATTTCAATGATTATTCTACTTATAATCATAATACGACTACTATAAATAGTATAAATGGAATAAAGTTGCCCAGTAATAATAATAATAATAATAATGGCGATTTTCCAATGTCAAGACGTCACCACCAACAACAACAGCAGAAAATTCGTCAATTCCATCAAAACAAATCAAACAACACAATAAAATCACATCGTACACGTTCATTAACACGAATGAAAAATATGATTAAAGATTGTAATGTCAAAGAGAAAAATGTAAGTTGTTGCATTGTAATAGTCTTTTTTTAAATTATTAGCAAGTAAGCTAATATTACGAGTTATATTATTATAATGATGATGATTATAAGTAGAATCAATAAGGTACAGTTTATATTAGTTAATATGTACACATTCCAGGTCGTATTGATGTATTGTATATCCGTGTCTATGTTAATGAACAAAGAAGATCTACTCATTAGAATATTGAGTTTATTGTGTAAGTAATCCACGAATAATATTTTTTGTTAAATAACTTTTTGTCTTATTACTAGATCCAATGAATTGAAGAGTCATTTGTTTCATCATTTTCGTTTTATCATATATTATTATCTGTATGATTAATTTGTTGAAGGAACTTAACCTTTCTGGATCAAAGTATCTGCAAAATATATGTATTTCCCAAAAAGTAGTTATAGGAAATGACAATTATCAGTGATGATCAGTGACTAAATTATACATGGGTTTCACTCTCAAATGCCCTGGTACAGCCGAGAGTAGGGAGAGTCAGCTCTCCCTTTGAAAATGCTCTCACATGGTTACGTGCATATAACCACTAACAGGGAAGTCCTACTCACTGCCTTCTCTCATCATTACTGTTGTTTATGAAACTGAGAGGACGAAAAGCGAATTTCCGGCTCTTTAACCGGGTTGGTGGATATGGAGGATCCATTTCAGGGGGTTGGGACACCTTGATTCCAAACCAATGGTGTGCATGGGCTCTAGGATCCTGAGCAGAACAAATGGCGTGTGAACCAATCGCTGCTCACTAGCTACCATGGGACTGCATCTCCTAACGTTGCTCTAGTGCCTTGTGGATTAGACCTTTAGGTTGAAGACTCCGGGTGTGACTCCATAAGTAAACTACCTCCTTCGGTTTGGGCACCCAGGGAGTATCACAGCCCTCACACAAATCGAATGATTTGTGTGACGCATATCCATTTGGTGCCTCCTTGTGCCAGTGTTTTTGTGTTTAAATAAGTAAATAAATCTTAAAGTATCAAAATGTCAATATCACAAATAGAGACAGATTATAACTCACAAAGGACTTTGAACAAAGATCGATTAACGTTGAAAATTTACGCAATAGATACTAATTAGGTGATTCAAACTGATAGTGATTAGTGTAAAACAATCAAGATTTCTAGATTCAACTCCGTATGAAGTCGTAGGAGATATGGAGTTGAAAAGACCCAAACAACAGAACGAAATAATTTAATATCTTATGTCAGTTCATTTGAAAAAACTGACAAACAAGCAGGTGGCTATCAGGACTTACTACCTGAGTGGATAACGCGATGGCGTTTGGAGCGAACCGTACTGGGTTCGAGCCTTGGAGTAATCAATAACTCTGAGATGCAGGTACATCCAGCTGACGAGTCCCACGTAGGTCGGAATGTGCGTCCTGGATTCTACTGCTAGCCATCATCCATCTTTGCTCAAAGAGATTATTCATTCCTATAAAACATTTTTTAGACCTAAATATTTAGATAAGTAATGAACAGTGTAGAATATTGTAGAACGATATAAACTCAGAAGATATAAAGTTAATTAGGCAACTAAAGTATTTTTATTATTTGTTTGAAGAGCAATTAAATAATGTAAAATTCACGTGGTATTGTTTACTTGATTCTTCCCATTGATGCTTAGGACTACAATTGATCAGTTTCTTATTCGCATATGTACATACTGTGCAGGTACATCCAGCTGACGAGTCCCAAATCGGACGAAACACGCGTCCTGAATTTCATTGCTAGTTACTATCCATGTCTATTTATGAAGTTAATGTATTATAAAAATATCTCACAACAACATTATTGTGTTGACTCAATAAGACTGTTGAAATAGTGGTTTAAAAAGATATAGCTTGTACATGTTTCTTTGAATGTAGTTTATCATCTGAAAGCTCTGAATTTGTAGTGTCGGTTGCTATATTAAGCCCATATAAATTATTCTAGCTTCTGAATAGGTCAATTTATCCATTCATCTTGAGTCAAGTTTCAACCATGTTAATTATTTACTTATCAACCTTGACTGTTTTTGTATGAGCGTATGTGTGTGCACTTCTTATTATATTCATCACGTTTGTATCATTTTTGTTCGACTATAAATATCGATTAACGCTTTGGTTAAATCGAGTTGGCTCACACACCTTCTCCACTGATCGTCATCACGCTTCGCTCTCTTCTCTTCACCTCATTCCTCTGATTGCCTCCCTAGGTCAATGAGTGTACAAAATAGATGTATTCGAAAATTCATCCTCATATTTGATTTATTTAATTCAGTTATTCACCAATGTGATCTAATTCGATAATTATATACGAGGACTGAAAATAAATATATTTCGACAGCAATGATTCATACGATCTAATTGGAGTCAGATAATGGACCCCATAAATATATTGATACTTCAAATGTATTTAAATACCTTAATCGTACATCGATACAACTAAGTTGTTAAACGATTTCTTTTATATTTTAAAGGAAAAAAACACTCTACAGTACCTAAATAGTCCAAGTGAATGAGGTAGATTGTAAGAAAGTTGTATTAAGTAATTAATCTGCTTTTATAAGGTAGCTTTGAAAACTGTTCACAAGTAAATTATACACAGTACAATACTTAAATATTTAGAAGCCAATAAAAGGTTCTAAGCGTATTTTTTGACCCAATATGTTATCGAATCTTTCATTTATTGTTAACTAATTTTCTTAATAATATCAGAAGGGGTTTTTGTGGATATTATAACAGCTTTAGTAGTTGAGATCATGCATCAAATGAAGCTAGACCACAAAGAAAAACCTGGAAGCACTCATTGGAGACAATGGCGGATGTGTTGCTCAATTTCTTGGATTAGTTGAAGTTAGACATTAACACCACCGGATACCGGCTGACTCAGTGTTCTAGAGGTTAAGCGTCCGTGCACGAGACCTATACGTCCTGGGCTCGAATCACGCCAGATGGGATCGTGAATGCACACTGCTGAAGAGTCCCACAATAGGATAGAACGGCCTTCTAGTGATAGTTCAGCTTCATTGGACTCATAATCTCAACTACTAAAATTTTCTTATTGTTCAACAAAATATGAAGACTAATGGAATAGATGGTTCTTTTTAAATGGATTTTGATTATTCTTCTGAAGAGTTTTCTTTCAATTTAAAATTCAGTGGATCACTATTTGCATTGCAATTAAGTTGATACTTTCATTTCACTTTAAATTTTAATCAATCAATCTTAGTGATTATCTCTTTCTTATCTAAACTTTTCTAATATTTACTGATTATTCCATGACAACATCCTTGAAATTTAATTATCTGATTCTTAATGAAAACGAATGAATATGAATTTTTCTTCTTTTTTCTCCTCATCAGAGCTTAAAATCTGATAATTGAAAACAATCATTTAATCAACATAAGTTTTCAGTATATGGATCGTCATTGAAGATGGATATCTATAATTTGAAGCTAAATTAATGAGAAATTGAAAAACTGAAACTAATTCTGATTACCACCTAATGCACGTGTTTTTTTTCATGTCCATGCATGAATATTGTGTTTTAAGGCTTGAATTAGGATTTTTAAATTCGAATTTTTGGCGCCATCCAGTGATTGTTTTATTTCATTCCTTCGTTTTTAAAAATAAATATAGCTCATTGATATATATAGTTTTAGAAATAGTTTTGTGGCAATTATTCAATTTAATGATGTTTTACACTGGGGATTTAGTTTGGATAAATAACAAATGAACATTATGGAATATTAAATAGTTGTTAAGTCGTGGTACAGAACCCTACAAGACTATGAGTGTATCATCTTTAAACCACTTTGAGAACATCCAGTTATGCTTATTTCCACCTTCGATTGTTTATTGTTTTCTTAATATTTGACAATAACTATGCTGATTATAATACCTTACGTAATATTTTCACATACACTGAAAATAATTCAGTAGCTAATTATGCTTTGATTTTCATTTGATATTTGTGGGTTTAGAAATAATGTATTAACTTATTTAAATTTTGACAGTTTTTCATAGACAATAAAATACCCGAATTTAATCAGGGTGAAGAACGGAACGTATCATCATCGTCATTATTATTATTATTATTATTATTATTATTATTATTATTATTATTATTATTAGTTGTATTATTATTATCCTCAAATGTGAGACGTCAGTAAAATTATTGGAAAGAAGAAATTTAAAACAGCTATATCTTGTTTTACTTCTGAACATATCACTAATTCCGCACACTAAATTATGATCCTACATTTCGAGATATTGTTGTGGTAGCCAAAACCCATAAAAACTTAATCTTATTCATGAACAAAATCTGAGGTAGAAAATGCTGTGGAGTTGCTAAATAAGACCAAACAGTTTGTGTTTTCTGGCTATTAACAATCTTTCTTGAAAAACGATCTTAAGATTCTAAACAGTAATAAATATTAATTCACTTCGTATTATTTTACTTGAATTTTCCCATTGATGTTTAGGATAGTAATTGAACAGTCTCTTATTGGCATGTACGCATACTGTGCGTAAATGGAAAGAAACGCGCTTCCTGAATTCCGCTGCCAGCCTCTATCCATCTTTGCTTATAATGCTTGTAAATCAAGGCAATATCGAGGCAATCCGCATAGGATGCACGTATGATAACAAGAGACTGATCAATTGCAGTCCTAAATAATAATGTGAAGATACAAATAAAAACAATACCGAGTGAATTTAAATTCACCCCATTCCACAAGCAAGTGACTCTCAGGACTCAGTAGGTAAATGAATAACACGATGGAGTTTGAAGTGAACGGTACTGGGTTCGAGTCTCACAGCGAATATCAACTCTGAGATGCAGGTATATCCAGTGGACGAGTCCCAAAGAGGACGAGACGAGCGTCCTGGATCTCACTGCCAACCACTATTCATCTTTGCTTAGTAATAAACATTTTTGATTTCTGATAAAAGTTTCACAACTTATATTCGATACGTTCGCTTCCAAAATCTAAATTATAAAGTTTCTTTAAAAATAATGAAGCTTCCATAATTAGTAACAAATAAATTATTTAATAATTTTTTCTCCCTGATGATGATTATTGAATAACCATTGAATATTGAAAATTATTGTTTGTCTTATTCTTTTGTAATTTGTTATATTTTAGTCTAATTCTACTATGATAATTCAAAATGAAATATTACAACTTAATCAAGTAGAAGCAATGCGTAACTTTTTCACACTTTACACAGTACAATCACAACAATTAGATGAAGATACTATCAATGTTAGTGAAGAATTGGAACAATGTAAGATAACAATGAATCAATTAACTGAACAACTTGATCAAATTGAATTATGTCGAAATCATTTAGTTTCTAAGTGAGTTAATGATTATAAATAATAAATTTTGTGAATCAGTTAAAGTTAGATATTAACACAGTTGGATACCGGCTAGTTCAGTGGTCAAGAAGTTAAGCGTTTGCGCTTGAGACTGTTTGGTGTTGGGTTCGAATCTCATGGTGTGGGATTGTGGATGCACACTGCTGAGGTTTTACATGGTGGTCTACCCTCAATTGACTCATGAACTTAATTACTAAATTACTATAATATCCACAAAATCCCTTCCTGAAAATAATAGATTGTTGAAGAAAAGATTAGATTTTATATTTTAACTGGTAGATATTAAGTATTGTACTTTAAGTTATTTCGATTAATACACATGTACTTATGTCCAGGAACTATGTATATAGTTAATATTGCCGATTTTCCTACAACGTATACTAGTGTATATGAGGTGACATTATAAACCAGCTATTTAAAATAGATTACATTTATTTATTGAAAGTCGGGTAGTTGAAGCATTACTGATGAAACTAGGGAAGGATGAAACAAACTTTTAATTCAAGTTTACAACATTCACTTTAACATCGCTGTTCGTTAATTTTATTCAATGAGAGAGGTGAAGGCAGTATAAAATTTATGTAAACACATTTTTGTGAAATCGATAAAGATTGTTCAGTTTATATTGAAAAACGTCTTATCTATTTTAAGTAGCGGGCTGCTTGAATATCTGAGCTATCTGATTCTACCATCTAGATATTTCAACAAGTTATCTGTTTTTTTTTGTCTTAATATATCATTATGTCTATTAAGCACATGATCTATTCAGGTGAATTTATGAAAACTGTACGACCTTTCACTGTAAAACTTACAAAAAGTACAATCAGACTCATTGTAGTTGTTGGCAATATATATTGAAAAGAATGAACATTGTTGCGATGTTGATTCGTGAATTGTTAACATATAAATGGTGATTGTAGTGAACGAGAATACAATTGGGGACAATCAAATGTATTTCAATACAACATTACAGAATATCTTAATAAAATTTGAGCACCATATAATAAATACTTAATATGCAAAATTTCATTCAATCGTCTCAGAATTTATTGTTTCTTCATTTTCACAACAATCATTATCAGTTTTCATTTTCTTTTCTTCAATCTTTTTGATATTCTATCTCCAAGTATTTCACTTTCTATTGATGATACATACTACTTATACCTATAGACATTAGTAGCTCAGATCACAGTGATCACTCAATATTTATCATCAGATTCGATCAAGAAATAAGAAACGGAAAACTTGTTGAGATACTTTGTGCTGAGAGTTCTATATTGTACTAAAAAGAGAATATTGAATAAACCGATTAATAATAATATTGTCATACTTAATAATGCTTTGTAAATAATTCTGTCGTACTTTTTTATTTGGAATATATCTTCTTTATTACATGAATGTGAATATATTTATCCCATTTATGATGTGATCTTTATACTGTTTTCCTTGATTATTATTTCTTTTTAATATTTATCAGAGAACTCCATGTACTTTTAGAAGCACATTCATCGTTGAATCCAGATTTAGAAATTACGTATACAGTAGATCATGTTTCATGGACTCCTAGTTATGATATAAGACTTTCAAGTTCAACAGCTACGTTAAAAGTAATTTAATCTTACTATTTTTCGTGAATTTTTACTTCAGTAATGTTTTTTCGAATAAATTTGATTATTTATTTTTGTAGATTATCCCATACTGGGACGAATTGACTATCCAATGCTTCTAGGTTTTTAATGATTGTCTAGCTTGTATCAACTCGTGAATTCAACTGTTAAACTTTCAGTCTTTACATAGTGATATTTCGTAGACTTATCCTTCAACTATGCATAATTATGAGATTTGAATGTTATCGATTTTATTGAAATTTACGTGTGTAATGTTTCTGAATAGCATTGATTAATTTTAATCATCACATTATGGTTTGAGATTTCTGAAGTCCCCCCCCCTAGAATTTATAATTGTAAATAATTAGTTTCACTCAAATTCTACCACACCGGTCTAGTTTTGTGTTCTAAACCACGTTAAATTTCACGTGACTAAATCTCCAATCAGGACATCGACTTATACGAGCTTGGCACTGTGCCAAACCAATGACGCTTTAAGTAGTACGAGCAGCCTAGAGTCAACTCTGATTTCTTATTGGAACTCCAAAATAGCAGCTTCTCGTCTAACCCAGATGGTTAGTCCAGAACAGCTATATCAGCCACCGCTATATGAATCCTGTATTTCAAACATACTTGGTTTATATACAAACAAATTAGACCTCATCATACCATAAAATAGAAAATAACAATTATATAAGATCAAGCCAAGATTGGCTGTGAGTGTGAGAGACTGTAACTAATAAATTGGGAATAACCTAAGAATAGGAAATTGTATAACAGTAATGAATAGGTCAAATGGAAACTCATAATAAGGGAAGTGCAAATAAATATAATCCATTTACCTAATAGTTACATAATAAGTATATATATAAACAGTCAATAAATAGTTCCCAGAAGTTACTCATAATTTAACCTTACTCGGACACAAAATCCAGAAAGCTTCACTTCTGAATCATCCAGCTCAGAGGACTAGTAACTCAAAAAATCTACTTTAAAGCTTAATAAATTTTGGTGTATCCTCTAAATACTTTTTAATTAATAATATCAATCTCGTGAATAGTATAATTCTCAACTTATATAAACTTATGAAAACGAAGAAAATCTCGTTTTAATGTAAATCGGTTTCAGAAATCTGTATATTTTTCTCAAAAAAGTATGTACAGAGGTTCAAGTCTATCCAGAGGGTAATTTGTGTACTAAGGGAATATGCAGAGTAATTTGAGTGAGGATAAATGTAAAAGAGCGAACAATCTTACAAGAGCATATAATGCACTCAAGGAAAGCAATAGACAACAATCAATAATAACACAAGTTTCAGATCAAGGAATCGAAAATAGAAGCGGACAGTTTAACCAGCTACTTATGAGTAGACTTAAACACATAAATTATATTAATGATTTAGTCACAAATGTAAGGGTTAGCAACGTAATGAAAGTAGATCTGTTACAGTGTAATCAAGTACGTTAAATACAGAACTAAGTTGAATAAATTATTCTCGTCTTCCATTTATGACAGATCTTTCAATCAAATTGTAAATATTCAGTTGTTTTTTTTTATTAGTCCAGTTCGGAATTAAAGTTTTCTTTAAGGGGTGAGGAGGTGGGCACCATAAACTTTTCACCATTTAATAGAGAGTATCATTTAACTTATACATTTAACTTAGTCATTACACAATTCAAATTCATGGATAAATTTTTGTTAATATCAAAAAATAGGAATATCCCATTAATTCTTTCGAAACAACCTAACATGAATTATTCAATAAACTTATATGAATTAAGGTTAAAAACATGAACTAGTGAATGATACTTCATTAGTTGAAAGATGTCTAACTTCTTGAGAAAACTGATGCTCTTAAGTTAGATACTTAATTAGACAGTGAGTGTGTACTATCGAATAGTTCTGAATTAGAATAAATCACATTTTCAGTTATTTCTAGTTTTAAGTGATTGTGTAGGTAGAGTCAGTTATTGATATAAATTACAAAGAGATAATTTACTATAAATTAATTCCATGAAATCAGTAATTGTTCAAAATGTGTGTGTTACGAAATTAAGTCAAATTTATTGCATAATCTTTTAAAATCAATTAATACAATTTCTTGAATTTATTTTTTTTCCCAAAATTCTTGGGATTCAGACACACACACACGTTCATGCACGAGACCGATGGTCCTGAGTTTGGATCCCTCGAACGTAATCATAGATGCTCATTGATAGAGAGTTTTATCATAGGACGAAACGACCGTCCAGTTCTTCCAGGTCTTCAGTGGTAGCTTAACATTCATCGATTCAATCAAAAACTTATTAATCTCCACAACCTCATACTGACAAGACATAATAATAAATTTCACAACAGAACTAATTCTCATCAATGACTAATACTTAAAGTCATATTCAACCAAAAAAGATACTTGAATCACAATCTTTTAGTGATAAAACATTTAAGGCAATTTAGAATAGATTTCTATTACTTATTCAATATTCATTATTAATATTGAATAGTTTCACTAAGGTCAGACAATCATTTTCATCAATTTAATTACGGTAAATTATAAAATATTGAACCATTAAATATTCAAGTGTTCAAGTGTTAAGGTGAAAAACATTTGATAATCAAATAAAAATGGATAAATTCCTTCAAATAAATATTTAGGATACATAGGTAAGTAGGTTGGTAATATGAGTCATTTGATCATTTTGAATGCAAGAATAAAATGTAAGATACTTTAATAATATGAATGAAGATGTATGTAAGAATGAGCTTAAAAATAGACAAAATATCATCTATAAAGATGAGTTACGGTTTGTTTGCCTTAAGGTGAACATTTTTTTTGTTGTTGTATACTTTACACTGAATTGTCTTCGAAAAAAAATCAACTTAAAAAACATTTTACTCCCCTCGGGAATATTAGATTTGAAAAATTTACTAAACTAATAAAAAGAAACTAGAACAAAATAGGGTTCATTCGAAGATAATAATAAATTACATTAATGATGTTGATGATATGAATGATCAATAAAGTTGTCTTACTGTCGATTGAAGTAATTGTAAAAGAAGAGGAATGAATAAGAATATTTAAAAAAACGGTGTTTGTATGTGGGGGGGGGGAGGTACAATATGTTATTAAAAGTTAGTCTGTAAACATTCAAAATTTATACCGTCTTATAAAATAGAACACATCAGACAACCAGTAATGTTTAGGTGACTAATAAAAACAAACAAACAAACAAACAAGAATTCAATAGAGAAAACGCAAAAGACAACACACTCACTTCTAGTTTATTCAATGATAAACGAAGTTTCTTTATTGATTATTTCGACAATAAATCATGTAGAAAAAAAATAACAACAACAATGTGAAAAAACTTTTCCCTAGAGAATGAGCAAGCAACACAAAAAAATCTTTAGTTTCTCCTATTAGAAGTCATTTAATCTGTTTATTTTGAATATGCATATATACCAATAAGAGACTGATCACTTGCAGTCCTAGATAACAATCTGAAGATACAAAATGAAAACAATACAGAGTGGATTTAAATTCACCCCATTCCACAAGCAAGTGGTTATCAGGACTCAGTAGGTAAATGAATAACACGATGGTGTTTGAAGCGAACGGTGCTAGGTTCGAGTCACAGAGTGAACATCAACTCAGATGCAGGTACATCGAGCTGACGAGTCCCAAATAGGACGAAACGTGCGTCATGGACCACTCGAAATCTCATCAAATTTTGATAGAACCTGATTCGGTATCAAGTTTTGGAGATTGTTGAGTTTAGATTGATATTATAAGTGGGTCAGTGTTAAACCACCATATAAAACCTAGGAGAACTGGACTCGTGAGCAGTGCTTCTGTACCAAAGGTAATCAAACCCGAGATCTTCGGTCTCGTGGGAAAACGCTTAAACTCTAGACCATTGAATCGGCATCCAACAATGTTAATGTTTAGCTTCAACCAATCTACGATATTACGCAACTTTCAATTGTCTCATAACAGAAACGGTTGAGTTCCAGTCGATAGGTGAATCGTTTACGTGCAAGGTCAAAGGTTTTGGGTTCGAATCCCCTTGGCACAAAACCGTGTAAACGAATTGCTCACCAGTCCCATACAAGGATGAAACGATCGTTCAGTTCTTCTAGGTTTTCAATGGTGGTCTAACATTAATCCATTCATGATAGCAAGCAAAACTTGATGCTAGTATGGGGGTTGTGGAGATTATCACGTTTTTGATTGAGATCAGTGGAGCTAATCCATGTCGGGTAGAGACAGGTATCTACCTCAGTACAATGGAAGTTGGTCGCGCAATTTCGTGGATCGGTTGATGTTAGACACAATCACCACTGGGTGCCGGCTCAGTGGTCCATTTGGTTAAGCGTTCGCGCGCAAGACCGAAAACCCTGGGCTTGAATCCCGCGGGCGGGTTCGTGGGTGTGCACTGCTGAGGAGTCCCACAATAGGACGAAACGGCCGTCCAGTGCTTCCAGGTTTTCAATTGTGATGGTCTAACATCAATTGGTTCATGAACTCAATCAAAAACTTGATGCATTTTATCATGTGATCATTGTTCCATTAGCGGATTTATGAGAAGTAAAATTAGATATTTTCTTTTAAAACTCGTAATCATTACATAACTAGTGGTTTACTAAGTTCATATCTAGAAAAAAAACAGTTTACAGTTAAGATAAATATGTTATTCAGTTTTGTTTAAATGGATATATTCAGTAGATAAATTTTGAAAACTATAGGTGACTTAGATTAAAATCTACTAAAAGGTTACAAAAGTATAAATAAGTTTTTTTTTAAATTTTTTGAGTATTTCACTTATTAATTATGAGCTCAAAAAATGTATGTTAAAACTATGCCGTTAGTGCAACTTTTTCGGTGTATTGACAAAAACTCTTATTGAAGATAATTTGTTTTCCAGTGCTTCCAGGTTTTCCATGGTGGTCTAGCTTCACTTGACTCGTGACCTCAACTATTGAAATTATTACATTCTCCACAAAACCCCTTCTCATACTAATCAAAATATGTTTACTAGTGACTGGCTTCAAGATGTATATCCTGGAGTTCTAGTGAGAAGCAATGACCAGTGGAGTTCAACCGGGCCTATTGTGATATAGTAACTCACTGAAGACAATGGTGGATGTGTCACTCGATTTCGTGGATTAGTTGAGGTAAGACGTTAACATCGTTGAATCCCTGTCGGGTCAGTGGTCTAGAGATTAAGCGTTCGCTTGCGAGACCGGTATGTCCTGGGTTTGAATCTCTCAGGGAAGGGCCGGATCGTGGATGTGCACTGCTGAGGAGTTCCACAATAGGACGAAACAGCCGTCCAGTGCTTCCATGTTTTTCATGGTGGTCTAGCTTCAATTGACTCACAATCTCAACTATGAAAACTACTATAATATCCACAAATCCCTTCTGATATGTTTTATTTATTCAATTTTTAGATTATCTACTATGGTACTATACGCCAGAATACTGGTGAAGATTGGGAACTTGGTAAATTAACTTTATCAACCGCTGAACAAGATCATTTCAATGATGTACCGCAATTGAAATTAGAACAATTATCATTTAAAAACAGTGAAAAGTCAGTTTAATAGTATAACCTTTTATTTATATGAATTTTTCATTTATCAACATTAAAACTAACGTATCTCAAGTATATATTACAGAACATTTTAGTAAAATCTGAGAACCATGTAGTAAACACTTCATTTGCAAATTGTCACTCAGTTGTCTCAAACTTAATTGTTCTTTCTATAAAATGTCAATCAATCGTATCAGACTTCATTGTTCTTTCGTTTCCACAGCAATTATTCTCTGTTCTCGCCCTATTTTCTTCAATATTCTTATCTTTCCACTACCAAGCATTTCACTTTCGATTGATGATACGTACTACTTGTATCTAACGACATCAATAGTACACACCACAGTTTTATTATTTTGTTATGCATATTGAAAATTAATGGTTATATGTTAATATATAGGCGTGTTGAACCGATTTTTCAATATTATTTATGTTTACAAGTTAGATTTCGATCATAGCTTAAGTGGAATTTTATTAGTTAAAAAGAACTTAATTGTCATCAATAGTGAAGATTTTCCTAATTATCAATCTAGTTTACGCTGAATCTTTTAAACAGTTCATCCTTTTTACAAAGTGTTGGGGATGTTAGATCCCCAGAACTCACTTGATAAATACTTTATAAATACCTCGTTATCGCGCCAAAAGCGCCCATTTTCACTTTCATGTCATATTTCCATCTTGGAAGGATCTTAAATGCTATTGGTTCGTTGTATGTTTTAGTATGCTTTTTTGTAACGCTTCCCAAAGACAATTATATGCTGCATATATACATTTGATTTGCGTGCTTGTGGAATATATTTCAACTATTAAAATTACTACAATCCCCACAAAACCCTTTCTCATATTAAAAGTTTGCTTCTTTTTTAAGTAATGAAAATATTAAATGTTTTCTATATACTCTAATTTTTAGAATATAATGTTCCTCCCTTTCAAATACCGATATAATAAAACATGAATTATAGTATCGAATTCAGGAACTCCACTTTCTTTAATAAGCTTAATTCTAATTAAAAATAGTCTATATTTACCATACTTCTGATATGAGTTGATCTTCATGGAAGTGTATCACTATGTTAATATAACATTTCTGGCCTAAATGATCACATAAATCATGAATTTTTATTAAAAACAGAGCACATTTATCTAGACTGAAGTCATAACTTAGGAACCTATTATTATTATTATTATTATTATTATTAAATGCTTTGATTTTGTCGAGGTTCCATATAATCTGAGAAGAAGGTTCGTCAAGAAATATCCAATGGTAGTAGTTAAGTATCATAACATTACAAAAATTGATTAGAATTAAAAATCTGGGATATTGAATCATGATTTATTATCTCATTACTGTTATGATTTCCGTGAGGTTTCCCTTGTATTTTTGTTTATGAGTTTTGTTTGTAGTTATGAATGAGTACAGTTAATTAGTCTCAAATTAGATTAAAAGTTTTCTAAAGCCTTTTAGTTTAGATATCATTCCATAATACAGCTCACCTTCTAATAACCATATTCCAATATATGTAGCCAGTGATAAGAAGACAGTTTTATGTACGAATAAATATTTATTTAAATTAAACATCCCACTAAAGTTTTTATCCTCAATTCAATCATAGTTGATTGAACAATCTATTTTTTCCATCTTTCACCCAGCAATTTGTGATCTTCATCGTAGAAATCAGTTCATTTTCATCATTGTCTTACTTTAGCTAAAAATAACATTGAAAATAATGAGTATAGCTCTATGGATATTATTTAAAATTTCCCAGTAATATTCATCTATGATCTAACAGATGATGGAGAATAAGACCCTGAGATGGTGGAGAAGATTTGTAGCTCAAGTGGATGATTTTGGTGGAGCTTAATTCTTTAAGCTGGATGGTTTAGTCGTGAAGCTTTCATCGTTCTTCTGAACGATATCATCAGCACAAACTTCAGATAGAAGTGAAGTGTTCGAATTTCTCTACATATGGTTCACAGCTTGTCTTGTACTCCTCGATGTTGATTGATTCTTGTTGACCTTAAACCTGTTATTGTTTACTTCTTTGTTTTGGTTATATCTCCCATTGGTTTGATTTTTGTTCCTACGTTTGTACATAATTTTTCTGATTGGTTGATTAATTGAATCGATTTTAATGTGTTTGTTAATTGCTGCTTGACCTGAGCTGAGTGCCAGGTCAAATTCGAACACTTCACTTCTACCTGAAGTTTGTGCTGACGATGTCGTTCAGAAGAACGATGAAAGCCTCATGACTAAACCATCCAGCTCAGAGAACAAAACTCCACCCGAATAAGACCTTCAAATGTCAAACGATTTTATTGTTTGCCGTAACTTTCATTTTTCCCCAATTATTATTATCATTTCCAATTATCTTTAATTCTTCATTAACAATAATGTTACACCATATATCACTTTAATTTATGCTTTGTCATAAAGTAGATATAAAAGATATGAGAAAACAAGAAAGTGATAGTAGAATAATAAGAAAGCTTTCATTAAAGACAAAGTAATCGGAAGTGATCAAAAAAACAAGTCACTGCCATGGTGTTACACTTATAAACTGCTCAAGTTTAAATCTGATAATGTAAAATAGCAAACATTAAAGTTTAGTTTGAGTTTTGATAGTTGTATAATGATAAGACCGTAAAAAAAAACTAATTATAGGATGATGATGATGTTAAGTTTAAGTAATTTGAGAGATATAGAATGAGATAATAATGATTAGAATGTAATATTTTCGATAAAATATATTTGTATTGGTTGTTTGAATATTCCCATGAATGTTTAAAACCACAATTGATTAATCTCTTATTGACATATGTATATCCTGTGCGGATTACCTCAAGTCACAAACACTATAAGTAGAGATGAATGATGGCTAGCAGTGGAATCCATGATGTGCTTTTCATCCTCTGTTAGCCATCAACTATCTCTGCTTATAATCTTTGAACTAACTTCACGAATTGTCAAATATTGGTATATCAATGTAGTATCTGAAAACAGGTGATTCGGATGAATTATGAAAAGTTTATACTATGGACTGACTGTATCTGGATAGTCATTAGAAACTATACAGAACTGAATAATTGTTTCGTATTATTATCAACTAGAATAGACAATCTTGTCACGGAATGAAAATATAACCTTTTAGTACAGAAATGGTCACTTTACCTTTAGACCGTTCAGTTGGCAGTTAATAGCTTATGTTTTTAACATTCATTGAACAATAATTTATGACAGTTGTCTATTGACTTCAGAAATAACTGATTAAGACCCAGTGTGCCTAAATTTAATTGATCATGCCTTCTCAGATTGAAGAAGTTCACCAACCTTAAAATGAATATCAGTAAACAACTTGCTAGAACATGTGATTAATTTGGCCAATTAACTTTATTCAACAATAAAGACATTCCCTAAAATACACGTTAAATTAGTGAACGCCTATTTAATTTTATGTAGATTTGATGTATTATTTATTTGAACACCTAAAAATTCGTACAAACGGGCACCGAATACATATGCACCACACAAGTCACTTGATTTGTGAGTGGCCTATGGTACTACCCGGGTGCCCAAACCGAAATAGGTGGTTTCCTTAGGCGGCCACCATCAGTTTGGAATCAGGATTTTCCAACTCCTCTACGTAGACCCTTTGTGTCTTACGTTCCGGACATTCGCTTTTTGTCCCCTCAATTTCACAAACAACGGTAATGCCACGAGAAGGCAGTGAATAAGACTTCCCATGGAGTGGCGGTATACACGTGGCCATGTGAGATCGTCTCGAGAGGAAGAGCTAACACTTGCGTTTGGAAGCTAATGTTTCATTAATTAACGTCTATTTAATATTATGTAGCTTTGATGTAAGCATAATAATGCTAAGAAAAACTATACGTTGTAAGATCAAAATATCTTATCAGTTATCCATATGAATATACACAGTTTAATAATGATCTATACGACTACTTTAGAACAGTTTCTTTTTAACAGTAACAAGTATTAGCTGAAAGCATATGACTGATGCATTATTCTAGATTGGAACTCAACTCTAATCCCTTCCAATCGATCAATGTTAGTGTTTCCAATATGTTTCAGATTATCTAAATCTGGTCAGTTAAATTTATTTTAAACATATATTGTGGAATACCAGTTCTGTAGGTCACTTGTCAGATAACAAAACTAAGATTTAAGTAAAAAGCAACTTTCTTATGTTACTGTTAACATGCTTACTACTGAAAACAAAATACTTAAGACAATAACGACTCTAGATGAGAGATTTTAAGAGGTTAATTCAATTAAAGTTTTTGTGATTGATTAACGTCAAAATTTTTTTCTCTGAATAGTACTTTGTCATGATCGAAAACAATTAACCCCCAAAAACTAGTGAATTAAAAAATATTTGTATACTTATTAGTAACAGAATCTGAAGTGAACTACTTAAATTCCACCTAAGAGTAATGACTGATAAGATTTCTCCTTATGGTAGTACGGATGCCATCATCGATGTCATTCAATGATCATCAGGCTATATTGATAGCTGGATGAAATCAGAAATATGCATAACTGAATTCTAATTAGGTAGTTTATTGTTTCTATGCTCCCTACAACATCTTGAGCGTTATTGTGTTTGATATTTGTGAATGGTTATGGATTTGCTTTTCTAAGGAGTGCCAAACTAGGATAAAACCAATGTTTAGTTCTTTTTGACCTCCAATGTAATATTAATCAATTTGTATAACATTAACAATAAAACTATTTGATTGAATATAGTATTAATAATCATTGTGAATGTAAACATATTCATTAAGATTTTATACTTTTCTATGCAATTTAGTGTTGTTCGTAGACGTCAACAAACTGATAAATTCATACGAAAGTCAAAAGCGCGTTCATTTCATTCAGATGATTCAAATGATTACCAAACAATATCATCATTATTTCCCTTAAAAGAAATAGATACTGAACAATATCATTACAATGAATGCAAAAATGAAACATACAATCCAATTAATCAGACAATAAATGATTCAAGAAGTAGACTAGAACGTAGTTTTTTAAATGGAGGAAATCATCAGAGATCATTATCAACTCAACGTTATTACATAGTAAGTAAAATTGTTGATTACCTGAACGTATATTTGAATAAAATTTCTTTTTGTTATAACTTATGGCCTGTGTACCCTGTTAATGTATAACGTAAGGATACAGCCAATTAGAGAGCAGTGAATTATCGATCGGTACAATGACGCCAAAAACCCGTACGAGCAGTCTAGAGTACTTATCGGTATCGCTTCCCGCTTAGTCTAGCCAGTTAAGTCCAGAACACCAATCTTAGCCCCTGCGATATGAATCATGTATTTCAAACATACTGGGTTTATATACCAACCAGACAGACCAAATCGTACCATAAAATTCAAAACAACTTTGTACAAGAATTAGCCAAATGTGGCTGTGAATGAGGGAGGTATTAATTAATAGACAGGGCATAATTCAAGAGTGGTAAATCGTGTAATAATAGTTCATAGATCAAAATAAAGCTCATAATTAGAGAGACATGAATACGAATAGTTTAGTTATTTAACAATTATAAGATAAAAATATACGTTTAATAATGGTCCATCAATAAATCCCAAAAGTTACCATTCATTATTCTTATCGGGATATAACACTTTCGTCTAACTTCCGAAAAGTAAAATTCAGATCAGATAGATCACAAGGATTGTATAATGTTTATGCGTTCTTGAGAAAAAGATAAAGAACAGAAGACATTATATACTGACTTATATTTGGATTTCATTTCAGGCAGAGGATTTTCAAACTAAGTCGATATTTTTGTCCTATTCTCTATAATTTTTTAAAATTGTTATTTAACATTTAGTATTCTATGAATACGATTAATTTCAAATCGGAAAATATCGACATTTCTTTCGGGTACGTTTATTAATTATTGGAAGTTTTCCTAGACCAAACTCTTAAGTCTGTGAATAGTAAAACTTGAAATATTCAGATGTTAGATCCTCAAAACTCACTAAGTGAACATTTATTTTTGTAATTTTATTTCGGAAATTTGAATTTCTTGTTTCCGCGCCAAGAGCGCCCATTTTCACCTTCATATCGTATTTCCCACCTGGCAGGAACTTAAATGTCATTGGTTCGTTGTCCCTTCTAATATACTATTTTGTGATGTTTTCCAAGGACATTTCTATGCTGTATATACACGCTTGAGTTGTGTGCTTCTGTTGTTTGTGCTTTTGGTTACTTTGGGAATATACCTTCCCTCTTCTGAATCAGTTAGCTTATTCGGTCATTGTGTCACTGAGTCTTCGTCCTGTTCGCGGATTTATTTATTTTGTTTATTTGAACACATAAATATTGGTACAAAGGTGCACCGAATACATATGCACTATATAAGTCACTTGATTTGTGTGTGGGTTGTGATACTGCCCAGGTGCCCAGACCGATGCAGGTGCTTTTCTTAGGGGGCTACACCCTTTGACCAAACGTTCTGATCCACAAGTCAGTGAAGCGACTTCAAAAGATGCAGTCTCATGGTAACCAGAGACTAACGATTGGTTCCCTCAGGACCTTAGATCCCATGTACACCACTGGTTTAGAATCAAGGTTTTCCAACTCCCCTAGGTAGGTCCTCTGTATTCACCCGATATAGGTGATCTCACAATCTTTTGAAACACAGAAAATATCACAGTGTTAAAGTAATATTAGTAAAATTCACCACAAAGTTATGTCTAACCTATGATATGAAGAATTCCTTCTGAATGCAATGACTTATAAACAGATAACATTTTGATTATTTGTTTATAATTTCTATTATACAGAATAAAAATGAAAATCATCTAAACAATGATTTAGATTATGTACTAACTCATTGTCCTTCATCATCATTAGACAGTGTTATATTTAAACATGACAATGGAAATAAACAGTTATTTATGCATAAATCATATTCAAATACTTATTCATCAAATAAAAATTATTTTCCATCACTTGCATTTGATATTCCTAAACCGCCAAAATATATAAAAGGTAATGGTGAACCACATCGTGTTATTATTGGTACATTAGAATTTAAACCAAAATTACAATATATAACAATACCGAAACAAACACCAAAAGCTTTTCTACGTGTTACAATGCATAATATATCAGAATATGCATTGTTAGAAGGTCAAGCAAGTGTATATATTGATAGTAATTTTATTGGAAAAGTGAGTAGTTTAATGCATTTCTTTGTTTTGTTCTTTTTATGTACTGTATTTATATGTCAATGACGTAATTATGTTTAGTGTGCCATTTTATAATCCTCCCCCTCCCCCCTCTTTCTCTCTCTCTCTCTCGCTATACATATATATATATGACGAATAATAAAAATTAATGTGAAATACAAGAGAGAAAAGATGGTGATTAGAGGTAGTCAACAAAAAATCCTTGACCCTAGGTTTCGTGCGATTTGGCACTATAGAACAACATATATAAGCGAATAAGATTGTTTTCGATTAAATCCTTATCAGGTTTTACATTAATATACAGTAATATTTATATGCATATACAAAATTATTAAACCAATCAAGGTAGTTTATGAGTCAATGATAACAGTAGAATAGACTACATAAATGAACATAATAAGTGAAAAATTGTAAATTGGTAGTGTGAAGACAGGTATACTAGTTATGATAAAAACAATAAATGCTGAGGAGTCCCATACTAGGACGAAACGGCCGTCCAGTGCTTCCAGGTTTTCAATGATGGTCTAGCTTCAACTGTCTCATGATTTCACTCTGTGAAAATTTCTAAAAAATCTCCACAAACCCCTTCTGATAATAAATGCTTAAGTCAACGTTACATAATCGGAAATAGGTCAATGATTAGAAAAATATAGACACTGAAATAACATTGATAGAAAGATTATGAGATTACGTAATAAGAGGTGTTAAGACAATTGAACCGTGAAGCGAATATTTGAGAAAAGAAAAGGGTGGAAGTGAACAAAAATAAACGAAGAAAGAGTGTGGAAAATAATTAGGCACTCATCAGCAAGGTTTACCTGTAATCTTGAGGGGATGGATTCAATCCTGTATCACTCAGCTTTACAAGAGAGAAAAGATTGAATAACAGAATAAATTTATTCAAAATATGTCACCATATTATAAAATTGATTATTAACAAGTTGGCCAGGGTACAAGGAGTGGTTGAACATATTTCTTTTGGATGCAGAGCTCTGTCTTTTTGATCTGAATAGCAATTGCTTCAGCCGTCTGTATGATTCTCAATCTGACGGAATTAGGTAGACTACTATTAACACGATATATTATTGCGTAAGATTGCTTCATTTCGGTTGTATGTCTCGTCTGAATTAAATTGGTTTAAATGGAGCTGTTAACTGTTTTGACTACACCTTTGTTTAACTATACTGGGAGGTGCTCATGAGAGAAATTAATAGTAAATTTCTCATTTTTTTTCATATATATATGCCACTATTAACCTTTTTGTCAGATGAATTTCTGCACCGAAAATATAACTGAACAGAATCTGTCGGAATAAATACGTAGTGTTTGTATTAGTTCACATATTCATAGATATTCATTATTGTAAGCGTAAAACAAATTCATCAGTTGAACTCATTAAAACAAAACAAAAAATAAAATAACACTGAAAAAGGTATTTACCATGAAGTGCTTTCGCAGTGAAGTTATAGATTTAAATATAGTTTGTTTTTCAAAATAATTAATTAATATCTAGTTCAGTCGAGCTGTGATGATTGGAGTGCAAACCGTGCGAAGTGGAGATAGTTATCTAATTCAGAAAATGAATGAAGTGTTGCACAAAATCATGGATAGATTGAAGTTAGTAATTACCAAGGTGAGATATCGACTCGATGGTCCGGAGGTCAAGTGTTCGCGCACAAGACTGAATGTTGTAGGCTCAAGTCTCATGTGTGGCATCGTGGATGCTCACTACTGAGGAGTCGCATGCTAGAACGAAATAGCCGTCCAGTGCTTTCAGGTTTGCTATGGTGGTCTAGCCTCAATTGATTCATGAATTCAACTACTAAATTACTATAATATCCACAAAACCTCTTCTCTGATAATAAATATAATAGTCAATAATACATAATTTCAAATGAAAGGTATCTAATATGACTGATAATCGTGATTTTTAAGTAGAAAAATATAATAACAACAACAAAAAAATAGGAACAAACATCAGAGAAAAATATGCATAAACAAATCGTATGATAAAAAGAAAGGTCCAACATGTTACTTTCATGAACATAACTTTGGTTTTAAATTATGGACAGATAAACCTTTAACACACTGTTAGGTTGGTTCAGAAGGTTAACTTCTTGGCCAGATTTTAGACTGAATGTATTGAATCAACTTTATGTTGCTAAATAAAGAATTTAATAGATTTACTTTAGCCTGTATTAATCCATTTAAAGAGATGTCATCCAATATGAATGAAATAAAGCTTCGATTCAGAATCTATGCACATAGCTCCACATAAGAAGATAGATATGTAACTGGTCATCCTAGCAATGTGTATTTACAGATCCTCTGATGAGAAACTCTTACTTATGATATAAATTATTGTAAGCAGATTTACATCGGGAATCATATCAATATTTGACAGAAACGTATCAATATTATTAGATACTGATAAACCATAAATAATTGTTACGATACTCTATAATATTGGGATGAGATAGTGGTTGAAGTTAGTTGACAGGAAACCCTGGACCTAGGTTTCGTGCTATTTAGCACTCGTCAGTAAGGTGTACCTGTAATCTTGAGGTCATCGGTTAGTGATCAGTCCCACAGGAGTTCATTCATGGCCCGGATCGCTCTGACTGTGAAGTTGGGTGACACGGGACCGAATCCGTCAGGGAGAATCAGTTTCTTCAAGATTACTGGTACACCTTCCTGACGAGTGCCAAATAGCACGAAACCTAGGGTCCAGGGTTTCCTGTTGACTACCTCCAACCACCATCTCATCTCAACATAGTGCACGCAGTGTCGAGTCAACTGAACTAGTGGTCAGTATGATTTGATCTGAACTAAGAAAGACTTGACGCACATGACATTGATCACTACGCAGTGATCAATCAGTTATAAGCTCTATATTTGTGTTTTTTATCTAATAGTTAATTATTAAATTACTGACAATCGGTGTATTACTTTCCCTATATTTCTTAGACAAAATTATCTGCTACAGCTGTTCAAGAAGAATTCACATGTGAATTAGGCTATGATCCTGGTATACGTGTTACATATATGCCAAAACATAAATATAAAAAAACTGGAACATTTCTTGGTAATAAAACCATGTCTATAGTATTTAAACAAGTTATATCAGTAGAAAATAGTTATCCAAGAAGTATGAAACTTTTAGTGATCGATCAACTGCCAGTCAGTACAGAGGATAAATTAAAAGTAAGCAGTTTTATTATTCAACTTTTCATTTTTACCTTAATTCATATATTTACTGTTGCAAGTATGAGGATAAATTAAATTGTATTGAACTAAATACTTCATTATTGATTCCAGGAATCTTTACCATAAAGGATATCATGATTATTGACTGAATTTGAACAGCAACATGATATATGGAACTGATCATTATATTTTAAGTGAAACTGGATTCAGATTGTGTTAAGTTATGAACTACTTGAATTTATACTGACTGGTCTAAATCATATTATGCTGACTGGGTAATTGGAATGTGTTATGTTTGTTTGAGTTTAAAGTTGTAGGAGTGCTCATACCATGAAGGCCTACTCTGATTGCTTTGGGGTGGACGGGGGTGAGAAGTTCTCCCTCTCGAAATGCTCTCACATGGTCTCGCGTATACATACAGCCGCTTCCAGCCAAGTCCTACTCATAGTGTTCTTGCAGCAGCATTGTTAGTTACAAAATTGAGAGGGAGAAATGCTAATGTCAGGTGCTTAAACCGAGTTAGTGGGTATGGAGAATCCACCTAGGGAAGTTGGAAAACCCTGATTACAAACCCATGATGTACATATGCTCCAGGAGTCTGAAGGAACAACTGGCGTATGAGCCTATTGTTGGTCACTGACTACTATGGGACTGGATCTTGTAATGTTGCTCCACTTCCTTGTGAGAGTGGCTTCGGTTTGAGGATCCGGACAGTATCTCACCCAACACAAAAATATCATGGTTACTACTTCGCGTGGTGTATATATATTTCGGTCCTCATTTGTACTAATGTTTATGTGTTTAAATAGATAGACTCGACTAGTAGTCCTATACTAAGTACAACACAATAGAGAGTTTATTTAAAATAAGCTTCTTAAATGATTGGTTTAGTTTATCTAATTTTTATTTTTCATATCAACAAGATTCATCTTATTGAACCATCAATTAAAAATCCAGAGAAATATGATCCAACAAAACCGATAAGAATAAGTAAAACAAAATCAATTGAATGGGATATTGAACTTGCTCCATGTAAGTTAATTACTATACAATAAATAATTGACTTTTGTTTCAATTCATTGAAATAATCAAATAATTATTAGATACAATTTAAATTGTAACCGATTTACTTGTATTGAAAAGTGATATCTTTAGGAGAAAACTATCTTGGTGATGGTAAATTCTATGTTACTTTATAGAAGATGATCTAATGTATAGATTCTCATTTTCCAAATGTAATATATGAATCGTTTGAGAGAATAAATACAGACACTTTCCCTAGTTTGTGGGTTAGATGGTTGTAAAAAGAATTTTCGGAACAATACATATAGTGTTTTCAATGCCCCAGGGAATTTAATCCACTTTTGCACTCAATCTGACATATGAATTTTCTTATTTATATGAAATATGTCACATTGAGACTTATTTGTAATTCTCATGTAAGCGAACTGTAACTTTAGAAACGTTCATCAAGGTAAACCTCCTTGAAAGCAATGCAATACAGTTGAAACTTTTCCAGAAAGCTCATAAATTAAAATAAACTTCCGATTTAGAGCATATGAAACTCTGAAAGTTCTACACAGATGTTTTTCTAATTGTTAAGTGTCCTTAACACAGAATAATCTCGAAGTTATACTCTTTTTGGTCACGCCACGACCGTGATAATATTCAGCCACTAGGTGCGAATACAACAAGAATTTTTGTATTATTCAGACGACACACCTGTCAGATGCAGAAGACAATGTGTGCCACGATAATACCTATAATGAATGTGTAATGAGAACAAGTCAAAATGACTGGAATTCCACGCATATATATGAGCAGTTACTTTATGTATATCATATGACTCAATGAACACTGTACAATATATTAGTTGAATTCATTGAGTCAATTGAATCCAGACCACCATGGAAAACCTGGATGGCTGTTTCGTCCTAGTATGGGACTTATCAGCAGTGCGCATCCAAGATCTCACCCCGCAGGATTTGAACCCAGGAGCTATTAGTCTCGAGCGCGAACGTCTAGCCCGTAGATCACTGAGCTGGCATCCTATTGATTCATGAATTCAACTACCAAATTACTATAAAACTCTCTGATTGTACAATTTACTGAACGTTTTACTTTTCTCAAATATTATGTGTAAAATAAACACATTTCAAATAGTAAAATATTTCCACAAGACACATCTAATGATTCGTATACTTTTTTCTTTCACAGATGAATCACGTGAACTAGTTTTAAAATACCTTGTCGAACATCCATCTATTAAAGACATTGACATTTCAACACTGGGAATATGATAATGTAAATGAGAAGAAGGGAGTAATGTAATAATAATCATATAAACAAATAAAATACCACCCAGAAACTGTTTTGCAAAATTTTTCCTTACACTGAACATTATGTTCTAACTAAAACAAAACAACAACTTTTATTAGACCTATTTGAATTTATCAATGGGCATTTTTATATAATCCCTATCTTAATACTATCTAGTGGTGATAAATGACAAGTTATTTAATCGTTATATATTAACCTTGATAGTATACACTACTGGTTTTCTTTTGTATAGAAAGAATTCTGTATTGCCATTTTTATTGCTTATATTATACAAATGTTTTTTAAATGTGTTGTGAAAACACCACTTACTTTACAGTGGATACATATATACAATTGTATTGTAATCTGTGGTTAAGTGAACAGACATTACAATGTCTATTAGTTAATGTTCAATATTCACAAACAAATAGTAATAAGTTCATTTTTTGTATTACTTGTTTGAATCGTTCCATTGATGTTTAGGACTGCAATTGGCATATGTGGATCTTGTGCGGATTGCCTTGATACTGCATTTAGTCACAAGCATTATAAGGTTGGCTAGCAATGGAATTCAGTTTGACGCGCGTTTCGTCCTATTTTTTGGACTGGTCAGCTGAATATACCTTCATCCTAGAGTTGATGTTCACTCTGGAACTGTAATACTAGGTGCCATAAGTGTTTCTTGAAGTCGAATTTACACTTTACTGAATGCTAACAAAAGTACATAATCGGGATCATTGAAAATAGCAACCTTTGTCATGTTATCCAGATCTTAGTAATGATTGAACTATACAGACCAAATATGGAACGTGGCTATTAAACTAAGTGAATTCGTAATTTGCTCAATGGTTAGAGTAAGCCGCTCGTTGTCAATTTTTACAAGGCCTACCTAACTAGTTTGAATTCCAGAGATGGAGATATCAGTTTTGTATATATATATATATATATATATATATATATATATATATATATATATATTACCTGGAGGTTTCTTAGCGTTTACGTTCAACAACCTGACACAAACCCGAGTCAGTTGCCCTCTACTTTGACTCAGGTCATAAAATATATTCCAACTAAATAAGTTCACTAAGATTAAGTAAGTCATTGAATTCTGGAATAGAAGTAGACATAGTAGGTTAGTTTTCATGAAGACTGACCACTGTATTGAAATCAAAATATTTTAAGAATTTACCACAAGTTATATTATCCTACTCATATAAAATAATACATTGAATAATGTAGTCAATATTCTGCACTTTTTCCAACTCTATAACATTTATTAAAACGAACTGATATAATTATGTCTAAATTTGATCAAATAGTTTTACAGTATTTGGGCGTCGAGTTGATGTGAGTCATTAAAGAGGAGAATGTATCTTTAAAATCTCGAAGAATGAATTTGAAGTAAATCCTAAGAAATACTCTGGTAGATATAACAGCTGCTTTTTGTGAACGTGTCGAATTGTCTAGAGTCTTGACTTTTAACGTTCTTCGATAAACATGATGGTTTAAACAACGTAGGTTGAAAATTCGATGGTTATACCAGTTGTACATTTCCTTCGACAATGATACAATTACGGTACATTTTTACAGAGGCAGTTTAACATGAAAAAAATAAACTCATCTAAGTAACTCATTCGTTTAAATATCCTAGTTCTAAGCAGTAAATTAATATTCACTTGATATTGTTTTACTTGAGTCTTCTCATTGATGTTTAGAACTGCAATTGATCAGTATCTTACTGACATATGTGCATATTGCCTTATTTTACAAACATTATAAACAAAGATGGATAGTAGCTAGTGGCTGACGAGTACCAAATAGAACGAAACGCGCCACTATCCATCTTTGCTTAATAAATTACTATGTTTCAAAATATTCTCTCTAATTAGTATACTTTAAACAACCTAATGATATCACTACCCTTTCTCAATTAACTAGCAACAAAATGTTTTCTGATTTTCAAAGAAAAAATGAGAACAAACAGATTCATTTAATTCATTACTTCAATCCAATGAAACATGTAAACCTATTCGACAGAGAAAAAAGTGAGTAGTTGCAGTGTGCGTATGATGAAGAGCTAAACAGATTAGGTTTCCTCTTTGAATATAACTTTTACGGAAAAAAAAGAAATCAGAAAAAAATACAACACAATACAAGAATCGCACACACAAAATTAGAGTAAAAAAAGAGCACAATTAGAAAAAAGAAAAGAAAGAGATCACAAAGAGAACAAAGGGAAACAGATATACAATATTGAAATAGATTTATAATGAAAATAGTAATCCTCCCAATCAATAATATATCTGTTCCAAAGTGTATATTTATATATCATTATCTATCTTATCCAAAATGATATAGAATCATTGAATTGAATTTACAAATAATAATAACAATAGAAAAGTAATAATTATGCAATATCTACACACACACACACACACACAAGGATATTTATTTCAAAATGAAATGAAAACCAAGAGAATAAATTGACAATTTTATATTCAAACTAAACCGAAACCTTCTGTTTGTTGAATAGCTAGTGATAATTTCTTAGCTAATATCTCTTTACAACTATATTGTGGTAAATCTAATAAATTAGCACATGTATGTGCTACAGGTAAAAAATCATCACCACTATTATTTGGTTGAATTGTAATCTATAAGAGAAAAGAAATAATAATAACAACCGTATATTGTATTGTGGGATAATATGAAATATGAGAATGTATGTATATACTAAAAGTATTAAAAACTCAGTATAATACAGTATTAAACTGATATGCATTAATTGATCTTAAGATTAAGCAACCAAATTGAAGCTTTTGTGAAGGAATTCTATATTACAATGAATTAAGATTCATGAATTATTAAGGCGTAATTATAAATAAATTTGGGCAGAAATTATGGTGACCTAACGCTTTAATGATTCGATTCATAAATCATGATCTCCAGGAGTGAGTTATCTGAAATGGAGTTTTGAAATCGTGCTAATATTTCACATTTGATATTTAAAATTTGACTGAAAGTGTTGTCACGGAGTGAACATTAAGAAAATCGTAACATGAAACTATTTTATGGAGAATCATTGTTTATATTTTTACTCGTCACAGCTCAAGATTTATTGTAGCGTGCTAGAGGTCAAAGCATTCTACGTTAGACTTTGGGAAAGAAAGTATACCCGGAGTTGAGAGTTACAGATACAGGTTCTGATTTATGCATCGTTTCTAGACGTAGATTAGAAATTGTAGTAAAATCAGTTCTGTGATGGAGGGCTCTTGAGAATTCATCAAAGTTTTTAGAAGCTCGCAAAAGGTTGAAGACACTATTCAATCAAAAAATAATAGACGTCTCGCAGAGGAATACGGGTAATAATGTGTCAAATTCTGATTGTACACTTTTCAAAAGTTAAAAAGTTTAACAAAATTAATATTTTGCATAAAAGAGACAGAATATGGCTAGCAGCGGAATCAGGGCCGCGGATTTCCTTCTATCTGGAATTCGTTAGTTGAATGTACCTATATCCCATAGTTAGTGTTTCTTTTGGCATTCGGTCTCAGTCCCTTTTGCTTCAAACGATAACATTTTATCCTACTTGACTAATGAATTCAGATAGTCACTCATTTGTCGAGAACTTTTATACTACTAATAATTAACCATGTGCGCAGTAGTAACTAATTTCAATAAGTAATTTCCAGATTTCTAGAGAAAAGCTGCAACCAATGGAGTTCAGCCATGTCGGGTGTGTATCGATTTTCTACCAACAGAACTGGAAGATGATTACGTAGCGTTACTGTTTGACTGAGGTTAGAAATGTAAACCCTTGGATACCGATTCTGTAAACAAGGGGTTAAATGCCTAGCGTGAGGTCCGAAGGTCCTGAAGTAGATAGCATTAAATAATGCTATCGAACAAAATAAATTACTAGAATATAATCGAAATGTAAACTAGTAACCATGAAATACATAATTTGACCTTCTGGTTATATGTGTTACACTGAAATATATTGCTTTATCGATAGGAAGAGAGATATGCCAAGTTTTACTTTCTTCTAAAATAGTGAGAAACTATGTGTATCGGATATGACAAAATAAAAATTAAAAAATTTGGAAAACATAATTAGAAATAACATTCAGGTTTAGAATTAAAATTATATCTAATAAGTTATCATATTCTACAGAATACACTGACCTTTACACCACTAAAACCAACAATTGGTACACGATCACAACCAGTAAGAAAACGTAAAAATTTCTTTTTCTCTTCAATAGTAAAATCATACAATAATACATCCCAGAACCATATAATCACTTGATGTCGATCCCAGTAGACACCTTGATATGTTGTATTCTGACGAAGTTCATCCCAGTTTACGACTTCTGAACCGACAACTAAAGACTATAGTATAGAATAGAATAAAAAATGTTAGCAAAAACAGTTTATTAGATTGAATGAAAATGATAAATAAAAATCGTGTAACAGATGTCTGAATCAATTTCTTAGAGAAAAAAACCCAATTGTAAGTGAATTTTTATTTGATATTATGTCATCAAAAGCTTATGGTTACTGCAAAAGATTAGAGTGTTTATCACATTACCTTGTAATAAACTTAAGCGGAACAAATAGAGACTTCTTGGTAAACGTATACACCATTTATGTAATCGGCCTCAAGTCATACTTTAAATCTGAATGCTAGTGATATTATCTGGCTATCACAACCGAAGTACATGGAGCACGACTTCACAACTTGAGATTTATTGATTGAAAGTAGAATGAATGAACTTCTAAACTGACAATTTATCAGATTAGATATGAAATATTAGTACTACGATATATTAATATATAAATGAAGATAGAACCCATTATGAATAGAATAAAGATCTGAGGAGAAACAAACCTGTAATTCAGATGGTTGAAACAGTTTTAATGAATAACCACCACAAACTTGAAGAAATCCTTTTTCAAACGCTTTATAAGGTGTTTCACATGATTTCTGAAATACATATTCAACATATTTTTCAACGTATAAACTTTTATTCTCTTGAGTGACAATCATATTTTCACCATCTTCCATCAGGGGGATAATTTTATTGACACCAAAATAATCAATTGTAACCTAGATGAATAAACAAATGGATAGGAACTATTAAGATTAATTAATGGTTTGTACCGAATAGTATATTTTATGATATTGAAAATCCATATAATATAATGTAAATGTTCGAATAGCTCTCGAATTCTACTAGAAGGTTAGTTAGTATTTATTGACAATGAAATTTAATATCAGACAGTTTAATAATGCGTTTGAAATGGTCTGGGATAAAAGACTTACTATGGTAGTTAAAAAAAACAATAATAATATTTGAAACAGTCATTATCAGTAGAATTTAAGATGTGCGTTTCGTCTTGCAAGGACATCATTAGCTGAATATACCTGCACCTCGGTATTGATATTCTTACCCAATGTCAATAACTTTAAACCACAACGCGCTATTTACTAGGTTATTGAGTTATGCATGTTCTCGGTTGCGTTGTGGGCAAACGTTCAAAAACACAATTAGTTTCTAATTACAGACAATAACTAGGTGTTCGGTCGATGAACTTACCTGCTAACAGAGACTGGATGAAATCCAGTTCTGAATATTAAAAAAACAAGAAAATATAAACGCTAATGAAATTGGTTTTTGGAGAAATCAATAACTTACAGTGAAATTCAAACAGAACACATCAGCCAAATCCGCATTATCATAATCCAGTAATTGTTGTAAAGAACGACCAACAATTGGATCCAATTCTTTTAGATCATCTAATCCCGGTGTTTCACCTAGCAATTTACGAAACATCGCTAATGGAAAACTTAAATCGACAATAATGGAATTGTAAATAGCTAAACCACATAGGATACCGACCATCAGGAAGACATTTTCACTTTCCATTGTCTGAAGAGAAATCAGAAAAGAAGAGTGAAGAAAAAATCAGTAGACAAACCACCAAACTATTCACTAAAACAAATCTATTTGTTTTATGCAATATATAATTACAATCAACAAACGCATGTGATTTCTAAATGATATAATCGAACAGTGATTGAATAAACAATAGTGAACAGTTTCACAATTCAGAATTCTCTACATAAAATGGAATGTTGAATTTTGTGCAACTGTGTGTAATTCCGAGTTGTCCAAACAAACATGAGAACAAAGTATACTGAAAATATGTCAACCAAAAATTAAGACCAATATAAAATGAATATGTTAGAAATTAGTTTGAATGGTACATAAATCTCAACGATAGAAAGCTGTATGTGAGACGTTATGAAATACTGTGTACGGATTATGCATATTAAGACCTAGTGAACTAAGTGTATTACTGTTAACGAATAAGCAACTAGAGTTCATCTCTGACGAAAAAGTACACTCGAGGCTGTTTAGGCACGTAATTCAATTATCAATAAATACAGTAATAATGATGTAACTCATTTACTAAAAATGATTTATATACTTGACTTGAAGCCATATTGTTTAATGAAATAGATAAAGCGCAATCTAAACATACAAGTTATTCATTGATAACCAAATGCTTTACGCAATTCAACTGAAAATTCAAGGTATCATAATGTAAGGATAATTCACACAATAGGCTGCTTCACAGGATAAAATGAGTAGAGATTTTGAGAAAATAATAGAATAATCGTTTTTGAAGCAACGAAAAAAACTCCAACTTACCGATTCACTAAACCATAACATTCGAGATTCTGAGTAACAACGAAACATTCCATACACAGGATTGAGTAAATCTCGCATAACTAATAAGAAAAATTCCTTGAAGAGATATAAAAAAACAACAGTAAAACTAATACTTCCATGTATATAAACATAATTAAGATAGAATATTTGGCTGAATAAAGTACCGGATAAAAAATATTTTACAAAGACACAGAGTGATTATAGTTTCGATGGATATATATCTCATGATAAGGACCACTACTCGACCCTCAGACCTAGAGGTCTAGTCTACAAGATAGAGGAACAATGTTGGGATATCTAGTCCTACGGTAGCCGATGACCACATGCCGTTTATTACCTTAGAACCCTGGAGCCTGTGTGCAATATTGGTTTGGATTCAGAGTCTTCCGACTTTCACAGGTGGATCCTCCATACCCACAAACCCGGTAAAAACAACGGACATCTGGCTTTCTTTGCCTCAATTCCGTAAACAACAACCCTGCTTCAAGAAGGAATGAGTAGGATTTCGCTGGCAGTGGGTATATACGTGTGGTCATGTGATAGCATTTTGAGAGGACACCCCACATCCCCAGCCGTACGAGGACGTTTGGAGGTCCTGTAGTAAGCTCATTCAACTATTTTATTATTTATCTGCTCACCGTAATTTAGACACTTGATCTACCATGTAATTTTCTGTGTGAGTATGATTGAACACATTTCTGCACATCAATTTTTAATCTATTCTCACATTGGTTGTAATACACACAATCAATAATTTATCCATACTTGATTAACACTCATAAATATAAATGGATTTTTAACACTCACACACACTCTTGTTTTCCCTGTGTGCTTGCTTCCTGTACGCTTGCAGATTTTACCAATCTTTAACAATAAACTATCTCTATAACTGGTGTTTAGGCTTTTAAATAATCTCGAGTAAATCCATAATTTTACTAGGAGATTTAACCTGTATTGAATACTCAGTTAATGGGATACTATCTATTGAAGTTAGATATAGAGGATACTAGCCTCTACAGTCCCATGATAATATTAAATAATTCTACTTTAAACGGAAGCTTAATTTTATAATATAAATTTTATGTTTGGAAAATTAAAAATCATTAACATTTTAACAATGATTGACCTCTTCTTATCATCAGCATTACTTACTTTCATTACACCACCTTCATCTACCGCTTCTTCATTTTCGAATTTCACCTGAAATAGAAACAAAAAAGAAAAGAGAGAAAACGAAGTTATTTATTTTAATAGCTTGATGAGACTATATATATTGAATTTTATAAATTACAATATGAAAAATCACAAAGTACAAACATATTTCAAGCGAGAACTGTTAGGGTTTAGTCAGTTCTCGGAAAAAAATAAGCAAATCAGACAACAGACATTAGTTTACAATGATAAGTTTCAGATAAAGAGAAGTAATTCATTTGGATTTCTTGTTAGACAGTTAACACTTAAAATTGAGTTTTAATTACAAGTATGATAACTAAACATTGAAATAAGATTTGAATAGGTTTTTACGCGGGTGATTTTTTAAAATACTAAAATCCTAAGTACTATAATTGAATTTGAAGAAAATGTGAAAAACAAACACAATTCATATGAATTCAGACTAAAATTTCAAGTGATTCATCTTTAGACGGGTTTATGAATTAGGGTTTTAACGGTTAAAATAATAATAATAATAACGACGTAAAACGTTAGGCGTAATTGATAGACTTAGTTAATGATATAAGAAACAACCTTCTGAGTAATAGCTTGAATGATATAATATTGGAAGCTCCTGGGATTATCAATAATCTGACATGAAACCAGTTTAGCCGAGATCAACAAACAAATATGTATCAACTAAAAGTTTATTTTCACTGACAGATATTGAATTAAAATTCGTTCATTTGATATATTCCCTTTATTCATGATGAATTATATGATTCCATCAATTCTGGAATCTGTCCGATATTTCATTAAATATGTGTGATTATTGATGACAGCATTGTTCTTGTTCATAATCAAAACTTAATTGATCAGTTGCTATTAGGGTATATAAATAACCCATTAATCTATTGATTCACATATTGATCACAGACTTTATTCGTGACCAAGCACCGATGAAATTCAGAATGTATAGTACTATTTTCTAATGGTAATATATAACATTTTTTTAAACAATCAAAATCATAAACACAGGGTTAATTTTCCAGTATGAACATTAAACTAGATTACGGTTATTATCCAGTCGATAAGATCCATATATATATATATATATATATATATATATATATATATATATATATATATATATATATACAAAAAGTGAAACACATAAAGTAAATTCTTATTCAATATCATACCATTATCAAAGTGTATACAATCATTATTACTAATGAAGAAATAACAAAACTGGTTATATGTAACAAAAAATTGTGGTTTATTTGATTTCATTCGCATCATTTCACTTAAAAAAAATAAAAACCTAACCCCTGTTTTTTTTATTAAACAATAATTATATCGATGTAAATGGATAAGGTTTGAAAAAAAGAGAAGTGAAGAATAATTCAGTTATTGACGAGAGTTTTCGACAACAACATTAGATAATCAAATTTATTTATTCATTATTTAATGGGAAAAGAAATAAGAAGAAACTCAGTTGTTGTTGTTGTCTTTTCTTAGAAAAAAAATCATTATTTGGTTTTCCACTAATAATTTATAACCAAAAAAAGAATGATTATGTCATTACAAGTTTATATTAGTCATATAAAAACTATGAGAAATCTTGATGAATAAAAATGATTCAATTGATAGGGAAATTTCTAAGTTATAACAAGTTGAAGATTATAATGAAACGATTCGGTCTTAAGTAGATGAACCCAATGTGGTAGCAGTAGTAGTAACAAGACATGGATGTCTTAATGACTCAGTCTAGTTAAATTGGTTAAAACGACTGCTTTTTTTGGTTCGCTCGAGCTACGCCAGGAGGATCGGTTGCAGAGCGAAAATACTGAAAGCAGCAATTTAAGGTTTGAACCAGAAGGGATACTGATGACTGTATAAGGACATGATCGCAGTAAGCTGTTACATCAGATAAACAGCACTTCTAACGATGCTGACTCCTCAAAACGTAAGAGGTTTTAAAAAAACATCAGCCCTTAAAACAACACACCACATCTCATGCTCAGGGATTCTAGTTATCAGAAGCACTTTAAAATACTTCAAGAATATCTTATGGAGAAGCCGTTTTTGATCAGTCTCAAGGAGTTGTCCCTTAGCCACTGCGGTCAAACACCCAACTCGTCAAGAACTCTACTAATCCAGTTTTGTTTCAGGTGTCCCTAGAAGAAGTATCCATCCACGATATGAGAGACTGTCCAAATATCTTCAATGGTATTGATCGAGACCGGATAGCTTTAATTCATCCCAGACAAATTAAAGCCTTGCCTATTGTTAGAGGGAAATGAAATAATTAATACATTTTTTGACGGTTTGTGAATAAATGGAACCGATGTTAATAACATAACTCAATATACGATGTGTTTTTTCAAACATTGACAGATTATTATTCTATCACTTTATAATTTCACAACTTTGAATATTATGGAATAGTTGAACAAGCATATATAAATAGAGAATAACATGTATCGCTGATCCAACCTTATATTTTCACGAGACTTCTCAAAACATACTGTAAAATGAATTAACAACATCAGCCCAAGTTAAGTTATGAAAGTCAAGTGCTGTATGTACGTCATACATACAAAACATAGACACTGATGGAAACAACAGGCTTGTGACATATCAGTGAGTGAGGCACCAGGAACTATGATTTACAACATGAGTATGCAGATATTATTTAACAATTATTAGAACTTAGATCTTAAACCCATAGCACAAAGCAAACAAAACACAAATATGTCAACAGAAACCAGAGAAGAGAATTATACACAATTACAAACCCTAAGTAACTTCTTGAAGTCAGCTGGATTAGCCATTGTCAAATTAGAAAGTGTATCTTGAAGAATATTGTCACGTCTAACAATAATGGTGAAGTACGGTGATGTTGTACCGCCATCATACATACGTGAACCAATAAATGGTGAGAGTAAACTTTGAAAAATGGCAGACTGTTGCGCTTGTGACATAGCTTGTTGCATTGTTAAACGAGCTTCAATGTTAAGCATTTCAGCTTTGGATGCAGCGTCAAATACAAATGGATAATCGCAGAATGAAAAGAAACGCTGTTTGATAATGAAAAAAAGGTAACGGAAAAATTATACTAAAATCAAACAATAATTTAACTGTCAGTATGTGGTTGTAGAAACTATTAAATTTTATTGAAATTATGAACCGACCACCATTTGAAACCAGGAAGCAATGGAAGATCATTTCGTCCAAGCATGGAACTGCTCAGCACTGCACGCCTACGTCCTTGCACGCAAGAATCAAGCCGTTGAATGTAAATCTAGATGGATTAAAGGTTAAGCGTTCGCGTGCGAGGTCGAAGTTCCTGGGTTCGATGTGCAGGTCTAGAGTTTGATCCCTGATAGAGCAGTTCTTTCTGGTCCTCATTAGTTATCTAACACAGGTCAGTTAGGGGTCCCAATAGAAAATGTTTAACATCTACAGCAATTAATTCTTCGCTGTTCAAGGTATTCAATATTCAGTAGTTCGATCATAAGTTGAGACAAAACCCCAAATTTAATGGTCTTCACTTTAAAGTAGTGTCTTATCTTTAACATAATCGACAATATTAGTGCAGGAAGATTTATGATGATCGTTTAATACCCTTAACTTCCAAACATATGCTTACTAAAAAACATCAATTTCCTCGGTTTCATTCATAGGGAAGTTGTAAGACTACACTGATGCGAGGTTACATACTAAAAAAGGATGCTGATTTCTACTTGATTAAGCGGTCATCTACTTAAAGTTAGTTCACAATGTAACAAACAAAATTGTTAGTTTCCAGATCGCACGAACAAGTAGTTCTTTCTATTACTCAAGTTCTGATTTATCAGAATCATGTGAGTCGAGTATTATGTATAACTGAGCTCTATGTATTTACATAAGCAACTTACTTAAGTAACAATATGACGTTTTTCCACTTAGTCACTCTCATCGTTCCACGTTTTATCGTCTTCACATCTCTTCAGTGCCCCTCCTATATGAACATTTTGAATTTCGGGAACAAAGATGGGTCGCAGAGGTGTTGATAAATAGGCAGGGGAATGAAGCATAGTGAATGCCCCCGAAGCATCAGGAAAAACACTGAGCAATCTCCTATTCAAATGTCATAAATAAACATCAGACTAACTCAAGATGATGGTCATTTACGTATCATCCGAATAAATTTTAGTTTATTAATGTCTAATAACTAAGAACCGCTTATTTGGTATGAATAACACGTAATTAATTTATTAATTAATATAGATGATTAAATTCAAATGCCATCTACTTACCATTCCACCGGAATTACATTCTTGTAACCAATTTACGAATGCGCTTCCTATGTTAATTTTATCTTTCAACGATGGTAGGTAAAAACTATTATAAGAGATTGGATTGGGATGATTTTCATTAACCTAAATTTAATTTTCAAGGAATATACATAGAGTATTTTGCTTTATAAGTGAAATAACGTGAATTGGTTGATATGCAAACAAATAAAATATAATTCAGTTTTAATAACTGATTAATCACGCCCCGTTTACACTCAGTCTGACCTGCATTGAATAGTAACACTAATCATCAAACACATAAACACTAAAAGACGAAGTTATATTTTTTAGTGAATACGATTAAACTGAATTACTCATTTGCACATAGTGTTCTAAATGTAGCTTAAATTTGGATGAATAAACTTACTTCAGTGTTCTACAGTTAATTTTAACAGAGAGCGAGGCATTTCAACAGTGCTATACGAATGTCATGGTAATTGGGATATTCAGAAAAATATACTAACAATTATCATGTTAAGTCTAATAGTGTCCTTGGACTTTAAATGGACATTCCCTATTGGTCAGTATTTATTTCACTTGTTAAATATTGTACAAATGTTGTTTTCTATTTTATGGTACGATGTGGTCTGGTTGATTGGTATATAAACAGAGTATGTTTGGAATATAACAATTCATATCTCAGAGGCTGAGGCTTGCGTTCTGGACTCAACTGGCTGGGCTAAACAGGGAAGCAGGGCCAATCAGGACTCTAGGTCGTTCTTACGTGTTTTACGTGTCATTAATCCGATCGATAATTACGCTGCGCATCTAATCTGCAGTCCACACGGTACAAGATTAATAAAGACGTGTTTGATGAAAACTAGGTACAGATACACAAACCTCGCACAACCCATGAAAAGATTAATCTGACTATCACATAAAGAGTATACTGTGAAACAGTTTGCTGTTTCACTCTACAGTAATAAAATATGGTTTTTAAAGATTGAGGTTATCAGTATTTGATGATAGATGTTTTCAAAGCAATGCTTGCGAATGATGGAATGACCGAGTAAGGAATAGTGAAAAAAGATGTAGTGATGTGAAGAAAGGAACAAAGAGTCAATGAAGAACAACGGAAGCGATTTCAGGGAAAATTGTTTCACATATTTGGTATATATTTAGTTTTGTCCCTGGTTTATAATATCTGTTTTTTCATGTGCCTATTTTCGTTGATCTGAAAAAGGAATAAAACGAATGATATTCCAACCACTTTGTCTTTTTTCTCTCTCGCTCGTCAACGAATTAGGTGGTAAGATATTTTTCATCTGTCTGCCTTCCAAGACCATTTGGTCACACATTGAACTCACGTATTAAGGGTGAACTAAATAGCCTATCGTGTCAAGGCTTTAAAGTGGATGAAGACAAATTTTCCTCTATATATTAGTAGGGAGACGGACCGAGGGTATAACAGGAGGGTACTGAGTTGATGAGGCTGTAAAGTGGTTACGGTATATGTTATTTATCCCCTATATCTAGGAACAAGACAGGCTGGCTCAAGTTGCATGAGAACTAAAGGTGGCTAACCCAAGACTTAGGAGTCAGCCCATCAAGTTATTTATTGTCAGTCTGAGTTATGTTCACATGTATAGACTACCTGGTTTTGGTTGACCAATTAACATGTGAAGGTAATTAAATTGAAAGCTAAACTCATTATAAAAAACAGTGGCTGAACGAGAGCTGGTTACAACTCAGTAGTTGAGAGAAAGCTTACAAGAGATCTGTTATGATGTTTACACTTTCAATCATCAAGATACATGTCGAAAGTATACAACAGTTTGAAAGCGAGTCCATATGTTAGTTTTATCTATCCTATAATTCGCTGTTTAACCATTTTGCTGTACTAAATTGTTATGAATATTTATGTATAAAGAATATACATTGAACAATTGTACTATATTTCGTTACATTATAAATGACCGATCTTTCACTCTTTTCTGTTATGTTCGTCAGTGTAAGTGAAGTTGACCTAGTGTTGTAATCGTGGTACAACAGTAAATATCTGGTAAGTGTAACCAGGACATTAGCATCTGCATCTTAACCTCCTACACGGTAAAATATAGGAATTTAAGCAGATAATCCACTTGGAGGTATGAAATGATAGGTGCTCGAATAAAATCAGATACTCATCAGCACAAACTGTGATTCAAGTGGATCTGCAGTATTTATCATTGTGCCATGACTAGGTAGATCATCTCTACCTTTTGAACATACCAATTAATCTGATCTTTCTGAGCCAACATCTATACACATATTCGACTTTATTAGTTATTCACTAGTAACTTACATAGTAATTATTTGAGCGTATGAGTACAGGTGTATTTGTCACTAACTCCCTTTGACATATTTCTTTATCTTTCATTTCCGATTGATTATAAATAGGGAGTCACGCTTTGTTAACTTGAGTTGGGACGTTTGCCTTTTCCGCCTCGCTTCTTATCTTCCTGTTTGTCTAAGTAAAAGAATATCTGAAAATTTACCTAACTTAATTCGTACTAGGCTTTTTATTATTACTCTTACCCAAACGAGGATAGCCCAAGTAAAATATACAACATCAAAACCAAAAAATTATGTTCATACTTTATTCATCGCTCACTCATTCAGTCGTCGAATAGCTAAATCGCAGGCTGTTAAATCAAACTGACGAATCGCAAAAATAGTAAAACTGATCTATTATTCACTAGCAAAAAACATTTTTTCCATTGATGTTTATTTGACAAGATGGCATAATATTTTCATGAATATTCTATCGTTTATATTTCAAAATGCTAGTGGGCGGCCTATGTTCCTTCATGAAGGGTAACAGGCGTAAGTAAGTATGTTCAAAACGATATCCGAATGAATAATGAACCAATCATCAAACACAATAAATGTACACTTTTATCCAAAAACTACTGAGATATGAACACAAACATAATAAATACATTACACAAATATTTACTCGATGTAAACGTTTCATAAATTCCAATGCTTGACGAATGCTTTCTTCTTTTAATTTACGCTGTAAAAGAAAAGAGATAAAACTACATGTAATTCTCTTATTATCAATTTGATCATACTATCGGGCAAAAAAGCAAACCGATGATAAGATCTGCTCATGTGTAGTTTAATTCAAGGAAAAATTAGTTTTTATTATTTTCACCCGATAAACTACATACACATAAATCATGTTAAATGAATATCAGATAAAGTAGAAACTACTCTTTTGCAAAATATGCATAACATTGCAACAGTAAAAAAGAATTTAGTTGTGTAACATAAAAAAGGGAAGAAATTGAAAAGAGGAGAAATATGAGGTCAGAATGGAAAATTTTTAGTGTGTGAGGAAGAGTTAGATTTATGAGATTTATTTGTAGACCTTTTTTGACAAAAATAATCAAATATTAGTTTGTTCAATTTAATTGACAGAAAATTCTACTTAACCTAAGTGTTATGCTAGTTGATACTTGTCAGCAAATCGTAACTGCGATCTAGAGAGAACTGATATTTCCTGGAGGATTCAAAGCCACATCATCCAGGTTCACAGTTTGAGTGGTTAGTACTGAAATAGTCAAGACACACCATATATCTAATAGGACAACATATTAGTGATCACTGACTATTGAGCGATAGTATATGTGGCTATATTGCAACTTGATCGACAGAATCCAATCGACATTAATTAGTGATCAATCAAATAAACTGATTAGAAACTATTTTTGGTATTTACAGGATTTTAATTCACTAACTGATTACTGGACTTTAGTAATATTTAAGCAAACAAGGGATTTCAGTCAATAATAATAATATTATTATTATTCAGTAATGAATTCTTTTTAATCGCTTTCACAGGAAATCAGTGGAAATTCTGAAAATTAGCTACTATTCAGTAATCTCACAACAGTGAACACCGACTCTCCGAGCAAAATAAACATCTCCCATTTTCAAACAAATAATAAAACCTGATGCTAATTAATTACTTAGTAGAAAAAATTGTCTAACACTTGAATAAGTGTTAAATAGGCAGGATAATCTAAAACACTAAACCAACACATCTGAATTTCAAAAGTTGAGATCATAGGTCGGTTGGAGCTAGACCACCATGGAAAACCTAGAAGCACTGATTATTTTGTGACCATCATTTGTATATTTGATTAGTTATTTAAAATAATTAAATATATTTTACTGAACTAAAAAAAGTTAACCAATGGAATATTTTTCTGCAGAATATTTGTCATAGATTTTAGAGGTTGATTGGTTGAGGAGATCGTTTTCACGTTAAATGTATCATCGTAACACATAACCATGACTAGATATCAGTCATAAAGTAGGTTGGCTCTTGATAGTTTTTCAAAGAAATCATTAGAAGCTGGGAAAGTGTTCAAAATACTCCGACCAAGCAGAGCTTTTTAGGAAACCTCCAAGAAAATTCTAGAAGACGACTGATTGTGTTATGATTAACTGACTGGAAAGTAATTTATTTTATTGATGAATTGGGTCTGTTTTCCAGAAGTTTCTATAATCCCAAAATGATATAAAATACTATAAATATCCTTATTTGTTGTATAATGAATAACTTAGTAGACAGAAGTTTTTTCATATTATCCGATATTGTTTTTTTCGTTCGGGATTCAAGTTCAAAAAAATTATGGGAAATAAGAATTCACGTAAACCACTTATCAAAATGCTAAACGTCTAAATTTGAGTAAAACTATTAAGTAGTTATGTACTTCGGTTCAGCATAGCACAATATAGCAGGACATCAAGAAGAAATAATCAAAAGAAATAGTAGAGTAGTGAAAGTAATAACAGTTTCATTGATATTAAAAAAGTATTAAGGATAGACAGTACGATTTGAGAACAAAGGATGAATTTATGGGATAAAATAGGAATTATAATTATTTCAAAACTAAAGATCTAATGAAGGGTAAAGAGTGTATACATTTACTCGATTGTGATCGATTCTGAACCATACTGTTTAACATCTACATTTACTCACTGCGATAATTAAATGTACTTTAACCAACTAGTCTACATTGATTAATATGAATAAGCTAATAACAAGATGGACTGATTTGGCGTTTTGGTTTCACTTTGGTTGAACATAAGTAATACATATCCTAATTACGGAGGTAGTTGAAGACACATTACTTCATCAAACAATTTGTCATTTTTACCTAGTGGTCCGTGTATAACCTTATTACTACTCACTCAATGATCTCAACACAAGCGAACAACTAAACATTGGAATATAACAATCTGAATATCAGTATGTTAGTAGTTAACCAACTTACTTGACTGTACGCTGAAGCTGGTTGCATGTCCAATATATATGAAATTAAATTATTCAAATTCTATATAGTTGGAACAAAAAAAAACAATCAACAAACTACCTTGTATAACACATAATTGTAAGAATGTCAATAGTAATAAACTGATCTATATACCGTTATTACGTGGTTCACAAACTTCGTGTAATGATGAAATTATTTACCAAACTTAAATTGATGAGACGGTGTAAACAGATTGTGATTATATTGGCTTATATAAGAAAAACTGAAACACAATACACAACAACCTGTTACAATTTGAACTAGTTATTGTCTTCAAATAGCAAATGTTTCAATCGAAAAATAAGTTTTCCAGTAAAACCTGATGAATTAATGGTAAATTAACATGTTGATAAATGAAACCAAGTCTATTGAATGGTGAATGCTATTCAACATGAGTGTTTTAAATTACAAAGATAACTGTAGTGCATATATATGTGATGAAGAACAATATTAAAAAGGTATATGTGGATTTATCCACTATGAAATAATAGTAGTCTAAGTGAACATGTTATTAAAAAGAACGAAAAAACCGACATTTATTTGCAATCTGTTCGTGCCCTTAGGTTTGTTTACTTTTATATTGTTGTAAATTATTATTATAAGTACTAAGTAACGCGATTGAGATCGCTTTGACCTAGATCATTCATTTGTAAACTTGATGTTTCAGTTCTCTTACAAAATACAAATATTGATTTCTAACAGATGCTTGAATTTCTTAACAGCTCTGTGAGAAATATTCTAACAAACTACTCTATGAATTATGTCTTTTCAAATACAGTATTCTTAAATGTTTATTTCATTTATATGTTACAATCCCTTTTGCGATACCTTAATCATACCTATAAACCAGTAAAGTTTTAGTAATTATTTACGAAATATTAATTTATTTATAATATAGAAAACAGAAGTATGAAGGTGAACATCAATACACAGACTGAAAGATATTTTCATCTGAACATAAGTGATGTAAACTTTAGTATTTAAGGTTCATTTTACAAAGTCAACACAAACTTAGCCAAACTTCGAGTAAACAAAACAGATATCAGAAGCTTAAAACTGTCATTACATCTAAATTATTCTTCAATCTTCACTCTGACCATGTACTCTTTATAAGTAAATCGGCTTACTACTTGTTCGTAATAAGTAGTTACAGACAAAATTCAAACTTTTGGTGCGGTGGTATACCTTATTGTAGAATAATCTCTTGATTGTATTTATTTATGCCTTACTTTGCGAATTGAAACAGCAATTCTTTTCCCACACTTATTCGATATTTCGGTTCACGCTATTTTTTTGAGGTTTTGTTCGGTCTGAACAACCTGGTTATTTTAAGTTCGCTTAGTTGCTTGGTATTTGTAAATTCATAGTGTTTAATCCACTTTTAAACATTTCACCATACTTATAAACAAATTTCCTTTTTTTTAAATACGCATAAATCAACTTCTACAACTTTATAAGCACATATACCAATAAGAGACTGATCAATTTCAGTCCTAAACATCAATGGGAAGATTCAATTAAACTTCTACAACTGTTCATTTAAACAAATACATGATACAATGAAGAAAAAAAATACATACCAGAACTAATTTTTTTAAATAACGTGGTTGCATTTTTGTAAACCACCGATCTGTAAATAAAAGATGTGACAGAAATATTTGTTGAGTATTATAGAACACAATCGAATGTAAAAGACAACTGACAAGAATCTATCTCGGTAGTAGTAATATATGCATATACTAATAACTAATTCGACAGGAATACTTTTCACAATTGTTTAAAATAAGTTAATTCAAAGTAATTATTTATGTTGTCATAAATAAGCTGGGGACAGCGTTATATCCGAAGGAAGAGTAAATGAATGGTAACTGCTATGAATCATTTATGGACTATTATTACAAATATTCCTATTGGATAACTATGAAGTAACTAGATTATATATATATTCGTATTACTTTGATCTATTGGTTACTGCAATACGATCTACCATTCTTAACTCATTCCTAAACTCACAGTCACTTTTGACTTGATCTTGTATAGTCATCGATTTTAATTTTATGGTGTCACACGATCTGATTTGCATGTTTATAAACCACGTATGTTTGAAATATACGAGGCTGAGATTGTTTTATCGACTCAACGGGCAGGGCTAGAGAAGGGCCAATAAGGATTCAGAGTTAATACAAGGCTGCTAGTGCTGATTTGACGTGTCATTGGCTTAGCACAAGAACAAGGTCATATAGGTCGGTATTTGGATTGGCGATTTTGTCACGTCAAGATTAACAGGGCAAAAGTCATAACAGACAGAGAAACGAAAACAGCATCAGTCAACAAAGTCATTGACAATTAGAATAAGCCATGCTAATAGGTACAAACAGCCCGATTGGGTTTATTATTATAACCAGTGGTTAGAGACCTTGCATGAGATGACTTGAAATCGTCTGCAGTGGAGTTGGGCCATGGAACTGTTTTTTACTTTACTAATTTATATTTTCTTCAGTCGCATCTTCGATGCTTAATCTTATCTATTGACATTATTATTGCCACTACTACTAATACCACACTAGGATTTATCTTGACAATTTCATTTCGCTGTATTAATGGAGGGTGACGAATTGGGCTGATGTACATAAATACCAGGTTCTCCATCGCGTTTGACTGACTGAAGTATTCTTTTTAGAAAAGAAGACAACTAACAAATCTGATTGAGTTAATCTTTGCAAAAGGTCGCACATGTGGGTGAATGAAACAATTAATTCAAATCACCTATGTATTTCTTCACAAGAAATTATATCGAAACAGTGAATAATAATATTGCTTTTGTTTGCATAAAACTAAACGTTTTAGTTTACGCCGACCTACATAGAACATTCCAGTAAGTAGCATATTACAATCAACGATATCTCCATACTTTCATTTTATGAGGCTTCAATGATATTTCTTTCTGAATATTTCAAACAAAGGAGAAATGTTCTCAAAAGATACCTACGATCAAATACATACATCCTTAGGTTATCATTTTCGATATATGCTATACAGCTAGAACTGCCAAATCAAATTAAAATGACTGATTAGCATTTTATGCAATTTTGAGCAAATTGACCATTTACCTTCTCAGTTAGGTGAATATACCTCTATATGTATGCTGTGGGATACATGAGTGAAAAGTTGTGCACTACTAGTGTGCATCTCAGTTATTTTGCTAACAACGTAAGTATACCTATATGTATACCAAATGATGCATGGGTGATAACGTATGTGTTCCAGGTATGAATGTAGACCATACTTTCCCCTGGTGCGACGCCTGCGTGCCAAGACCCAGGAGTCCAAACGATTTACCCACCTGATAGAACCTTGCACAGTACGTTACTCAGTGACCAAGGATTGTAAAATCCTATCTACTGGTTTACCTGCATTAAAACATAAATATTTTAAATAGATATTGATGTGAACAGAGTTTTGAATACAACTTACACAGTAATCGATAAGTAAAATACATTTTTTAAAAAGCCATTCAATGGTTAATTAATTTGTCAAGAAAACAGAAACGATTCACATGGATACATGTAAGATGTCAATGAAGAAAAACTGAATTACCTAATATTTTTGAAGGCGCTGGATCAAGTCTGTTGATAGCAACTGAATAAGCATTCAAAACTAGACCAGGAGTAGAGAATCCTGCGCTCAGAACAGGGTACGGTTCAAAATTTGTATTCATTTCTGAAGTTATATCCATTTTGTTCACGTCAGGGACTGCTTCGTCTATAATTGGTTTTCGAGGCATATTTAGTAAATCAGATACAGCGATAAACATTAGACCTCGGAGACATTCAATACTAGGATAGTTAAGACGTGATGTTGACAACACATCATCCAATAGTTTGTTAATCAAGCGTTTTAAATCTCTTTTCGGTAGAATATGAAAAATCTGTGACTGCAATGTACAAGCTAAGTCTAAATCTACACCGTGTTCCTCTCGGCCTGTTTTAAAATGACTGTTTGGCTCCCTAAAATGAGCAAGAAGTAAAAATATTTAAAAATATATACAAAACGGTAAATTAAATATATATTTTATACTAATAATAAAATAGACTACAATATGTACAGTGAAGTATTATCAAATAAATTTTGAAGGATTTCAACAGTAAATGATAGATGTAAAATGTTATCGATAACGTTCAAATACATTATTGAAACGTAACTTTTTTCCTTTAACAGAATGTTGAATTACAAGACTTTGAAATGCTGTTATTTTGATGGCAAATAGTAGAAAGAGTTCATTTTCTAATGATCTCTAAAATGTTTCCATGTACTATTTATCCCTAACGAAACCGGTGTATAAAAATAAGGATTTATGGTACCATTTCCTAATTAGGAATTAATTCTTTTTAATATGAAGTAACTCCAAAAATCGTCCTATAATTTAAAAAAAACTTATGAAAATGTTCTTCTCGGTCAAGTCACTTACCAAATATGTACAATTGTATTTAGCATTCCTTATGACACGTCACAGTTTAGCATAAAAATAAATAGACATGTCGTCATCAAATAAGTGATCGAATATTCAAGTATTTGGCGTAATTTCCTTAATAATTCAGGTGATAACAAAACATTAAGGTGAAAATAGTTTAGGGGATAAAACGTTTGAAAGGTAATTCCGTTCATTTCATGCTAGGGACTAGTGTTTTTGATATGATGAACGAATTTTCGGCTTTCAGGTTGGAAGAAAAAATGTTAATCAATAAATGATATACAGTAGAACAACGCATCACTTGATGATTCTGAAGAAAATAACATAAGGTTATAAAAACTTGTGTTTAAAAAAAGTAGGGTTAAATTCGAAGAACGTTGAGGTTTGAAACCATGCTTTTTGAAACACTTCCGCTGTGTATAAATATTTAACCCCCTCTCTCTTAGAGGTAGTATTTAAAACCTTGTTTGAAATTGTAAAGTACACTTCTATTGGGGCTATGTGACCAGATTTGACGGTGTTCAGGAATTAAGGCGTCTGTTGATGAATATTCCTATGATACAGCAAGGAAAAGTAATGCTTACAGACGAGCTTGAAAAGATTATGTATTTACAGCTAGTAAAGCGTACGTCGCAAAAGTAAGGAAATTGATAAGTAAACAGTGGAGCAGCCTGTGATAGTTTATCCACAAAGAATTCCAAAACATGATAGAAACTAGGGAAGAAAAACTGAAGCTCCGTTGAGTAAAAGGTCTATCTGTTAGTAATTTTTACAATCCTGCTTCAGTATCTAAGATTATCATTAAATTAAAAGGATAGAGCACAGTTTAGTTAAATGTCATTATTACTCTACAGTGATTAAAATTTCTATCTGATATTTATAAACTTATGATAATTTAAAATGCTTACTTTTCTTCAAGACAACTTGCTGATAAACAACCTAAAGAGGAATATACAGATTCAACCTTTGAAACAATTGCCATTGGTTCATTTGACGTAGAACTGAGAGATGTTAATGGACGAGATGAAGAAAGTGATATACATCTAGAAATTGGAGGTGGAAGTGCTAGTGCAGTATGAGCACTTCTAAGTTGTTCTACAATTTCAGGACAAACAGTAAGAATGGATTGTAATGATGAACGATTCCAATTGCGCAAATCATCAGCATCCACAATTTCACCAGTCTGAAAGAAAAATATGGGATTAATTAATAACAGGCTATCTATAAAAGTAACAGGAACTAGCATATAAAAAAACTATTATTTCGTAAATCATTCTCGATATAGAACTTTAATATTTATTTATGAAAACATATAAACATTGATACAAGGAGGCACCAAATATATATCAGCCACACTTCGTCATTCAATGTGTGTGAGGGTTGGAATACTGCCCGAGTGCTCAAACCAAAGCAGGTGATTTTCTTAGATGGCCACATCTCGAGCATTTGGCCTAGAGATCTAATCTATAAGGCAGTGAGGTAACGATAACCAGAGACCAACAATAGGTTCGTAGGTCATTTGTCCTCTCAAAATCATGGAGCCCATATGCACCATTGGTTTGGAATTAGGGTTTTTCAACTACCTTGGATGGATCCTCCCGTATTCACTAACTCAGTTACAGCACCGGACATTCGCTTTTCGGCCTCTCGATTTCGTAAACAACACCCCTGCCGAGAGAAGGCAGTGAGTATGATATGATGGAAAAAAAAGTCAATTTTCGATTGATTTACTCATTATGAGTTTTGTTCAACATTACTTCCGTTCTGATTCAATGTAATGATTACTCAATGTAGTATTTGTTTTATTGTCTCGTATGATATTTTATTCTGCAAAACATATGATATTCGTGTATTCCATTGACATGAACTATGCTCAGTATGTGATTTCTTATAACTTTATGTATTTTTCATATGTGTGATTTCATCCTAATTATTAACCAAAATGGGTTTACAATCAATATATAAATGAGTGTATTTTCGACTAGAGTCGTCGTCGTCATAGTGTTTTGGGTTAATAAATCATCACTTATACCAGTCTTTGTGTTCTTACTTTCGCGTCGTGGGAATTGCAGAGGTCCCTCGTTCCGAGTATAAGTGATAAGCGTTTCCGACATAACAATCAGCGACGAACAGATACAAAAAGTAGCATTAAAAGAGCCAAGACAATAAGCATTCAAACGACAAATTATAACAGAGTGGGTATCTGGAAGTACAATATGATAATAATAATAATATAATTTAATCAACTCATCCACCAGGTACTTGAACTACATCCTATATGTGAAGGATAATGATACTATTCGGTTGCTCAAGCCAAAGTAGGTGGAGCAAAGTTCAAACCTTAGACGTAGTGGCTGAAAGTCAAACCACCTTAACCACTAAACTATAGCTACACGTTGAAAATGCATAATGTATGTTGATTGATTTAACTATCTGTAATATATATGAAACGAACCCATATGTGCAACAACATTGTACACATTGAAGATCAACGTGTTGAACATAGCAAGGTATAAAAAAAGTATTCCTTCGCCTATTCTCTACTACACTATGTGATTATTTCACCGTTTAAAAACACTATTTTTTTAAGTGGTTAGTGTATATTAAATTGCTGTACTGTTAATTCAACTCATTTTATCGTATTCAAGGTCCTTGTATTTGATTTGGTAGCATATTTAAGGTTATTTATTAGTGTAAGACTTAGTGATACTATATTACTGCTCAAATAGACCTAAGTGAACTTGAGGTTTAAATATGTGACTTAACAGTTGATCAATGTTTCTTTATTATTGAACTATGGAACATTGTGCACTAATACAAATTGACACAATTCTACAATTTAATGTCATATCTTTAAAGGTAAATACTCACACCTTTCTGTTCATAATTAAAAGTAAGATAATAAATTGTATAGTTTGTCAATACTTGATTATGGGGTCTTTATAAGAAGCCGGTTCTTTAATTCAAACTCTAAGTTCTCTATTTACATGATTTCATAATCTTATTCCAATTACCGAAATTTACTCAATTACTTAACTTCGTCATTTGTGTTCACTCAATATCTTCTACGTAACGCGACTTTATCTTAGGATTAGTAGTTTTACTATCTAGGTGCTAAAACTAAGGTCGGTTGAACGAAGTTTGAATTTGGGACATAAGAGTTGATAACTGAATGTCTTGATTGCTGAACCACCTCATTCATAAATGTAACTCATATTCTGATAAAGAAATTTATATTCAATGATTAAACTTTATACTATTCTGAATTCTACTGAGTATACAAACGGCTACTACAGTGTAGGGGTATATTTGACAAATAAGTTAAGGAATTGGTATATTTGCACAATGGTTGAGTTGTTTGACTTCAAACAACTTAGTCGGAACACTACTCCGTCTAAGTTGATTTAGGCCACAGTCGCGTAGAATTAGTATCAATCGCAATTATGTAGTGACTTGAAAACAAGTACACGAGTCTGTGCCTGGAGTTCGTAAAGAATGTTCAAACAAACATTAACGTATTGTAAATAAGTTAATATATTTGTAATATCCTAATAAGCAGAAAAACTAGATTTTCTGACGTTTCTTGACTCAGTGTAAGCCACTTCTTTAGAGAATAAACAACCAAATCAAAATTAATCTAAGTTTAAATAGTACAAAGGAACAACACACGAATATTATGTGCAATCAATCAAAAAAACAGGTCCGAACAAGTCAATGTCACGTCATTCCGATCAAGGAGATTTATAAGCGACACGTATGTAAATTTGTGTGCATGTGTGCAAGGTTAGGTATGAAAAAATGTGACGTTTGTGGTGAGAAAGGATAGAGTTTAATTTGTAAGATAATAGTGTGAATTGTGAATAATATCAGACATGGTAGCTAGGATAGATAGTTCAAGTTGGATGTATAATGAGGCCCTCTTTTCTATTGAGAGCAGTAGGATTAAGCATCATATGGAAAGCTTCAGCTACTCTCCTCTCTTTGTAGTTGGAAAAACCCTTTTGTAATATTTTGATGTTTGATGTTCAGCGATATATTTTAGAATTGATCACATTAACATTGTATTGTATTACTACAATTAAACACATAAACATTGGTACAAGGAGGCACCAAATATATATCAGCCACACTTCGTCATTCAATGTGTGTGAGGGTTGGAATACTGCCCGAGTGCTCAAACCAAAGCAGGTGATTTTCTTAGATGGCCACATCTCGAGCATTTGGCCTAGAGATCTAATCTACAAGGCAGTGAGGTAACGATGGAAGATGCAGTCCCATGGTAGCCTGAATGGAGTATTTTCTAAAATCAAGTCAGTCATAATTATTGCAGAGTCCGACATGAAAGTGCATCGACCCAAGTTGTCATAACATATTAAAGGAAGTATAAGATGAACAGCAGAGTAGCTGGAATGATGAATATCAATGATACCATAAAGAATGTAGTTAGAATAGAAGGAATGAATTTGAGGAAACAAAATATTAGCAATAATATTAAAAAACACGAAGAATGTATACATATGTGCCGCTAGGACCGATTTTTGATTAACTCATCTACACTCTTCTTAGTAACCATGAATATCGTAATAGCAAAGACCCAAACAAAACAGACTGAGTTTGTCAACACAGTTCGGAATAATAGTGAATAACTTTATAGGCTCACGTCTTGCTTTGTTCGCCAAAAATTTCCTCCAACTTACTCCTAAACCACTCATTACTGTGCTACAAAGAAGAAAATTCAGAAAAATTCTTTGACACTCAATATGAATAAGGGATCAAAGTAAAAACACATTGAATTGAATCACCTTGAAATGAAAAACGAATGGAGAGAAAAAACATGAACACATTGCTTACTTGATACAGTTGAGCTAACAAATAAGTATGATCACCACCGGAGAATATTCGTCGAATTACATAAGGTTTACTGGAAGAAGAATCGGTACCAACAGTAGACTCTTTACTATTCAATTTATGAGATGAAACCCAGTGTCCTTGAGGAGGGACAGAACAAAAAAAGAAATAATGCGCGTGGAATCAATACAATCATTCACTCTGGTAATAATGAGACAATAACGAAGCCTGATAGCTAGGCATTAATCCGATTAAAGGGTGAATGATCTATGGTACCCGTATCCACTAATCGTTTGATTGTTAAATGACTTCTATTCATGTTCATCCTTGTGTTCAATTTTTGTACATAAGTGTATTGTTTCGTTAGGAGAGGAAAGTTCTTATACTGAGCAGTTATTCCATGTTTTGATATCTACTTAATCAAAGGGAGAGACGCGTAGCGTTATGTTAGTAATAATTCAGTTTCGTGAGTAGTTATCACTAGAGGACATTATATGACTGCATACTACCAATGATCCATTCACTCGACAAGCGATAAACATCCCATTCAAAACTGTCCGAAACTTATTCAGTTTATGCTTTTTCCCTTCCTCTCTTTCTATCACTCGAAAAAAACAGCAAATTTACAAAGAAACAGTCAGAAAAAACACATAGAGTATCATGAAGTGATAATTACCTTTAATTGGACAAGGTAATAAACGATTTGTTGTATCGCCCATACCAAGTTGTGCATTAGCGCCTTGACCAAATGCAAATAATCGACCAGTTTTGGCAACTAGCGCCAATGTATGAAATCGACCACAAGCTATTTGAGTGACAACATTACCCATAAATTCAGTAATTTTACGTGGTACAGATATGCCGATAGTTGATTCATTATGACCTAATTGACCATATCTAAAAATTAAAAATAAAAAACACCGAATGACATTGGAACAAGGAATTTTAAAAGAAGTAAGTAGGGCAGAAAACAAACCAGGTAAAAATAATCCTAAAAATGTTCAATGTTTAGGAAATAAAGACACTGACTGTTTTACTCATTTTAAGTTAATCGAAATATAACATAATGTAGTAACTTATCTCGGATACTTGCACATGACATCGATTATAACATGAATACTTCAGATAATTAGTGTTAGTTTGATTATACAGAAGACATTAACGATCAACAAATTACAATAACAGTTGTAGTGATCATTCACTATGAAATTACCAGTACACAGATCGATTTACAATAGAAGTGGATAATGATCACAAATTGACTGAAGTCGGGAATATGAACCATTTGATGTCAGAGTTTAGTAGTAAAATACTCGTTGTGTGGCATGACGGTATCGGATTAAAACCCTGAAGGGTTTATGAGGTGGGCATTATTGAAGAGTCCAGTACTAAGAAAAGACAGCTGGTTTCTACTAGATATCTAACTGAAGTAAGTCCATGATTTAACTGTCGACAAATTAGGCAGTTGAAAATGTTACGTCATATGCATGAAAATCGATTTAACTAGTGAATATTCATTGCGTACAAAGTTTTAACCATAAGATATCTTATTACGTCATACATATTAGATATAAGTCTTCGTACTGAATGTGAATTAAGTATTCAGATCATGCCATTATTAGCACCAATAAATACAAGTGAAATAGACTATTCTTTATACTGTGTTCATATACTGGTCTTTCATATCAAATCTGTTTGAAAAGCAATAAACTATAGTTTCATCAGTCAGTCAGTCAGCTACAACGTAGGACCAGGCACATATATGCATCGGTCCAGGTTGCCATACCGCATTAGCACAGCAAGATGAACACCGGATTCATAGGAGTGGTTAGATCAAAGGTGGTAATATATAGGAGAAAGATTGCATATAAGGATACAGTACAGGAAGAAAGAATTAGTTAGTAGAAAGAAAGATATGAAGTGATTTCAATCTCTTAGTTTAAGGGAAGACAGGGAGTGTATACACCTACGCCATTGTGATCGATTCTGAGCCATGTCATCAAGAGTCTCCTACCATCGGTTACGAAAGTCACGCGGACCCCAATCAAGTAGTCTGCATCCACCAACATGGCTCAGACTAGAAGTTAGTGACTTCAAGCACTGATGCCACGTTTTGGTTTGGCCGCCCCTAATTCTCTTCCAACCATCTCTAACACCCGTTAGCATTGCACGACGTGGTAATCGGTATTCACGCATACGTAACACGTGGCTCAACCATCTCAGTCGATGAAGATTAATAACCTCATCAACTGATTTACCATCATTACCTAATACCCTGCGTCTAACCTCACTATTACTTACCCGGTGATCCCAACAGACGCCAACAATATTTCTAAGACATCTGTGGTCAAATACTAGTAGCTTACGAGTGTCTTCTACTCTTAATGGCCATGTTTCGCTGCCGTAAATTAAAACAGAACAGACTGCCGCGCAGTATACTCGTCCTTTTATTGATAGACGGATATTTCGCCTTCGCCAAAGGTGACGTAAGTTGGAAAAAGCCAAAAGAACTTTTCGAAGCCGTGCTGAGATTTCGTCAGAAAACAACCCATTAGGGCTGATCAGACTTCCAAGATAAGTGAAGTTGTCAACGCGTTCGACTACTTCACTCCCTATCCTTAGTTCAGGTGTTGACGCAGACCAGTCCTGAAGCAACAACTTGCATTTAGAGGGAGAGAAGCGCATCCCAAACATTCTGGCATTGTTGCTTAGTGCTACCAGAAGACTCTGCATTTTGTCAGCGTCTTCACCAAACAGGACGATGTCATCTGCGTATTCTAAGTCGATAAGTGGACCTCCTGGTAGGATATCAATACCCGAGAACTCAGTCGACGAGAAAGTTATTTCCATCAGAAGTTAAACAAAAATGGGGAAAGTGGACAGCCTTGACGGACATCACTTGAGGTTGCGAAATCAGATGACAGTTCGCCATAAGCTCTGACTCGACTAGTAGTGTTCGAGTAAAGAGCCTTCACAAGGTTTATGTACTTCTGTGGTACGCCTTTCAATGACAGACACTGCCACAGAATATCGCGGTCTACCGAGTCAAATGCTGCTTTTAAGTCAAGAAAGATCACCATTTTCGGACGTCGATAAGTATGCCTGTGTTCTAGAACCTGACGAATGGTGAATACGTGGTCGATGCAGACACGACCAGGTCTGAAGCCAGCTTGGTTCTCTAGTGTTTGCAGTTCACGAGTCTTAGTTAGGCGTCTGATAATATTCGAGGCTAGTATTTTAGATACTATATTAGTTAAACTAATCCCTTTATGTTTGTCACAGGATGATTTCGACCCTCATTTATATATTGGGACGATGAGTGATTGTGACCAGTCAGATGGGATAACGTCCAACTCCCAGATTTTAGCTAAAATATTAGTCAAACTAATCGCTAAAATTGGACCACCATCCTTAAAGACCTCTGGAGTCAATCCATCTGGACCAGCTGCCCTTCCTCGTTTCAGATTAACTATAGCCTTCTGAACTTCAGCTAGAGTTGGGGGACCTACTTCAATGTTCCATTCACGCTGTCTGGGAATGAAGGGTAGTTGTAGAGTAGCTGAAGGCCAGTTGAACTGTTCTCTGAAATGTTCCGCCCATCGTTCTAAACGTCTGGACTGGGAGCAGATGAGTGTATCGTCTTTTTCCGATATAATCTCACTTACACTTGATTTATTAATTACAGTTTCTTTTATCAGTCTGTAGAGCCGCCTTTTCCATCTCTTTTGCTTTCGTTGACCATCACTGCTCACGGTCGTTTTTTAAACTTTTTATAAACCCAGATCTGATTTGTTGTCGTTCTTCATCATGTTCGGAACCTGATGGGACGAGTTTGCGAGAATCCATCAGTGTGATACGCTTTGAAGAAATCCACTGGTTCTTTGTAACTCTGTGGTTTAAGTCACTAATAGATTTCATTGCTGTTTCCACGGCTGTTTGTATATCTTTCCAAGCAACATCTGGGTCAGACTCGTTTTCAGAACTACCTAATCATGACCTCAGTTGTTCCTGGAACCTATTTTTGGTTTTCTCGCTACTCAATTCAGTTATAATGGGTCTTTTTACAGTGGCTGTTTTGCGTCCAGTGAGGCGCAAGCAGATGCGTGCCCGTATTAGCGCATGATCGGAGTCCAAGCAGGTACTCCAGAATGAACGACAATCTTCTACCGACCCTCTCCAATGATGACTGATGGCAATATGGTCTATTTGAGTCCATCGTTGGTTTGGTGTAGGGGGTCGCCTTGTTAGACGATGTCTCTCTTTATGCTTAAAATTTGTGTTTGCTAAAAATAAACGATTGTCTGAGCATAGTTGCAGCAGACGATCACCATTATCTGTTCGCTGTGCCGGTATACTAAAATACCCACCTAAATGCCTGTCTGTTTCGTTTAAACTACCTATCTGGGCATTAAAGTCACCTGCTACGAGTACTATGTGTGAACGTTTAGCTTTCTGAAGAAGTTCAGATAGCTTTTTGTAAAATTCATCTTTCACTTCATCTGAGCTGCAGTCGGTGGGAGCGTAGGCAGAAACAACAAAAATGCAATGACGTGTGTCCCTATCCCTCCGAGTTTATACGGAGCCGTTTAGCCGAACAGCACATAAACGACTGTTGACGGGGATCCACTCTGACAGTGCTTGTCCCGCCCTCGTGCTTAGTGCTATGCCCACACCTGCCAGTTCACGAGAACTGGCGGTCAGGTCACCAGATACACGGAGGGTGTATCTCGTTGGCTCTCCGTTTTGCCGAGGTGAGGTCAAGTGAATGACCACACTGGGATCCTGTATGCGTGTTTCGGAGACACAGCATACATCAATGGTACGAGATTCTAGGGTTTTAGCCAAGGAAGCCTGCTGACCGATTTGACATAGGGTGCGTACGTTGAAGGCTCCAATGTGTAGCGTGGAGCGAGGTTTCAGTAGACCTGGGACAGTGTTTTGAGCACTAGAATCGTTGGCTATGGTGACACTTGAGGCAGCCGAAAAAAATGTTTAGAGTTTGAAGTCGATGTAGGAGGAATAATAGGAATTGAAGAGGGAATTTGGTTATGAATACAGTGGTCTTGAGTGCTGTTAGGGGTATGAGGGCGGTTATCACTTTCCGGTTGCCCACACCGTGGAAGGGTTCTTCTGGAGGTACCTGAAAAGGAAATCGGATTAGAAGTGATCTTAGTGACCTGGGAGCGTGACCGCAGTGCCTAAGGGACAACTGCTTGAGGTCGGTCACACACGACCTTTTTATGGACAATTTTTGTGTTAGCTCCGTACTTGTTGAGACCTTACCGCCGGAGACGGATATCCGTGAGATAAGGCGAGGTGTGCATTTTGAGGGTCGACCTTTTCTAACCCCACCTCTCCTTGTGGGAAGGCAGCATCGCTGTCATGCTGGTTGTCTGAAGAAAACACCTTACTGCTGTCACCCCACTATACAATCACCAGTACGACTTCGCCTTCGGACCTTGAGTTCGTTGCTTTTAGTCTAACCGCTCTTCAACCAACCTTTCTGACGTGATAGGACCTTGAGGAACAGTTGTTCCAGTCAGTATAGCTCGGTTGCTTCATCACGATAGGTAAGCCCGACCACCACGTCAAGGTAGCAACAACGGCCGAGCTATTGTTTCATAATAAATAATATAGTCACATCTCTAGAATTTAATTTGAAAAAAGGGAAATAATTACAATATTTATGATACGTTTTGAGAAGATTGGATTTAATCTGTAAATGATACTCATCATAAATTAACCTCAGTCACGGTATTCACCAGTTCCATTGATCTTCGATTTGATCTTTTTGATGGGTATCTTCCTTCGGATTTTTTAATGGTACCCCGAAATCAGTTGATAACGAATACCATCTTCAAGTTACTGAATCATTGTGGATGTGTACATACACATAAGATAATATTCTAATTAAATATGATTATGTTAATGAAATTTTCCATTTTATTCATCATTTACTCTTAAAGATTATCCCAGCATTCATAATAATTTTTTTAAAAATAATAGCATTTAATAGACACGAGTTCCTTGTTAATTTTTCAAGTTTTTATTGTTATTCGATTAGAGAAAACTACAATTTGCCAAACAACGAAGTGTTTGAATATTATTCATTTAAAGTACAGAACCAGGGTGAAATTTACTTATACTTCAACATTAAAAGGTTACAAATTACCGATTGATTTCAAAAGTTTCATTTTTCTAATTTTTTTTCTTTCTAATGAATTCACAATGCGACGTTACCAAGTAGACAAGAGTAAATAAGGTTTTTGATTGAGATCATGAACCACCGTGTTTTCAGGTTTCCAACGGTGGTCTAACATCAATCACTTCATGATCTCAATCAAAAACTTAATAATCTCCACAACCCTTATACTGATAAGTAAATAAGGTGTTAGTGTTTAGTTAAGTTGAAGTTATATTATTTAACGAGAAAAATATTAAAGGGAATATTAGAATTTTTTTTAAAAACAACAACAGACAAACCGACAAATACAAACAATAACAAGCCTAACGCAACAGTAAACAGTACCATTCAGGTTAAGATGTAAAGCAATGCAACAAAAAATAATTAAAAGAAGATTGACAATTAAAATAAGTAATATGATGTCTGTGTGTGAAAGTGAACAAGGAACAGTCATGTGTAGAAACTTGCTAGACGAGAAAAATCTATAATTATACAATACGGGTTTCATCGACACTATGAACCGATCGAAGTTAGACCACCACTGATAAACAATAAACACTGGACAGCTATTTCATCCTAGTATAGTATACCTCAGCAGTACGCCACTATGATCTCACTAAGGGTCGAACCCAAGACCACCAAGCCGGAATCCACTGATGTAAATGTCTAAATATGACTAATTCACCATATTGCTGTATTAACTTAAAAGTAATTCTGAGATTCTACTGAGAAACCGTGACCAATGGAGTTACATCTTTTTGGGCGAAGCACTTACCCACTGTAAGTAATACATGGTTGCGAATTGATTGAATGTAGACATGTGCATCATTGGATTTCGGCCCAGCCATCTAGAGGGTAAGTATTTGTGCGCAATACCAAAGATCCTGGCTTGATCGCCGGTGAGGTCGTAGTTAGACATTACTGAAGGGTCTCATGTTAGAACGAAACAGTTGTCCAATGTTTTCTTGTTTACACTGGTCGTCTAACTTAGGTCGGTTCAAAATATCAATGAGGCTCAATAATCGCCGCAAACCTCTATGCCGATAATAATACTTTCAACTGCTGATACCGTAAGCCACTGTTATCAAGCCTCCACTTAAACACATGACCGACAGTAACAGTCAAAAAATTTATTTAGTGATGTCAAAACTTGTTAGTCACAGCGTAATGTCATCTGATTGTTACATCAGTAAATACTGCATACCCAGGATAGTTCATTTCATGATATTTTCTGTATGAGTTATACTCTGTTACAATTCAGATGCATTTAGCTAGGAAAGATTGTGGTTTTGATAGAGTAAATTAGTAAAGATTAAACTATTGGGCCTTTGAGGAACTGGGTATTCTGCAGAATATGTTTTACAATTATTAATAGCGACAATTAAGAAAAGTCTTTAACAATCATTTATGAGCGGGAACACACTAATTAAGACCTCAAAAAATTTTTTATCAACAAATCCTTGAAAATAATAATAATAATCTATGAAGGTATGATCATGAAAAATCCAACCACAAACCTGCCAGCACCGAAAGTGAAAACACCACCATCTCGAGTAAGTGCAACTGTATGTGCTTCACCACAAGCCAAATAAACAACTTCACAACCCCGTAAAGTTTTCACAAAAGTTGGAATAGATACATTACTTAGACTTGTATCAAGGAGTGAAAATGGACGATCTTTCGATTGTTCATCATCAACACTGGTACTACCAACCGAACCATACGTTAATGTCAATTCATTTTGATGATCCTTTGGTGAAGAGCCAAAGTATGATAAGCCAAGTTGACCATAATTGTTAGATCCCCAAGCATAAAGTGAACCACTGACAGTTAGAACAAAACTATGCCAACCCCCTGCAACTATACGTCGGACAGGTAAACCGGAAAGACAAAGAATTTGTTGTGGTATTGATATCGATTGTTCTGAACTAAAACCTAAACCTAATTGGCCTTTAAGATTGGAACCGAATGAGAATACACGAGCAGTATCTGTTAAGACAAGTGTGTGTTCTACACCTAAGCTAACCTACAAAAAAAATTAGAAAAAGACGTGTTTACACTTTCTGAGATATTATAAAAGTGTTATTGATAATCGATAATGACAAAATTACAAAGAGATTGACTATAAAGAAACATTGAAATATTGATTTTATGTAGAGACGACCGGTAGTTATTAGCAACGATAGTGATGAGTTTAAAAATAAAACAAAAGGAAGATGGAGAAAATAAGAATAAAACACTTATCGTTACCTAGTGCATACCATCAACTAAGTATAGGTTTATGTACTCAGAATTATATCTGGTGCCACAACTTTTGTGAAATGATAACATAGTGGTTAAGGCATTTGACTTTCAGCCACTAAGTTGCCGGTTCAAACTCCACTTCACCTACTTCGGTTTAGGTAACTGGATAGTATCACTAGTCCTGACACTTAGAGCGTGGCTAAAAGCTGAGTACATAAATATGAACTAAATATGTTTTCAGACACAAATGTGTTTGCGAAGTTTAATGAAAATACTCAGCTGCTTAAATCAAATAAAGATGGAAGGATTCGACCTCGCAGCTAGTGATTATAAAGTATCATTATTTTATATGAAAAAGCATAGACCTACGCAATAGGAAATACCATCTATTGAACTTCTGTAAACTAACTATATAACGAAAGATTGTGAAAAGGAACTTATTGAAAACAGATATTCTTTGTTTTTTTATACTTATCGAGGATAGTTTAATGTTAGTGATGTGTTCTCTAAGCCAGATGATTTAATTTTGAGGTCTCTAGAAATTAGTTAGCATTTGTGGAGCTTACCCTGGTTCAGAGGTTCAACGTTTCTCCAATTGAATTCATATCCATGTTCGTCTGAATGCTTTGGTATAGTTCCTTAGTTAGCAAATCTAAGTTATGTTCAGGATGATGAACAAATTTATAAGTGATCAGAACCACAAATTGGTACAAAAACATGATAATATGCATATATTCGAAAATCTCAAGTTTCGATCAAGCAAAGTTAAAAGTGAAGATTAGAACTACTGTGAATTGCTAATGTCTGTATTTAATAGTGAAAGGCATTGTGGTTTAAACTCTGCACTCGTTGACAAGTATTTTGAACAGCCACGTGTATAACGAATTCTCAAGTAAAAATGTCCACAAATGGTAGTAATTTTACATTGCCTTTGGAAAGTATCACGACCAAAAACTTTTCGTGTGATGTTTGTCAGTGTAGGAGAAGGTGGTGACAGAAAATTGGCAGAAACCAAACTAGAACGTAGCACAAGTCCATGAATCCTTCGACTGATGGACTGGGCTGCGTTGGTAGGTGTAGACTACATTGTTGTCATCCTCCGAGTTATCGTAACCAATAGTTGAAAATGTTGGGTAACATAGCTTACAATTGGTCACAGTAGTACCGATACATTTACTTTAACTTATATTCGGTTTATTTCGCGAATTCACTCTTTCTTTTTAAAACATATTGTCTACGTCTAATTATTTTTACCACTGCTGATATCGTTGCTAGTTCTACTACTCTGGTATCTGTATTGATGATTTTATCCTTCTTTTTGTGTTGACAATGTACATATATCCTGTGGACTATTAATTTGGTCGTATAGTTGTCACTTTTTCTTTGACAATTTATCATGTTTATTTCCTGTTTATATATATTTTACTACACAAGGAATTTATTCATCTGTCCAGTAGTCTTGTCTTTAACTTTTAATCATTTGACAGTTTGATACGGTCTCATAAGCAGCTATTACTCGGCAACACTTTACATGTCATCGCTTTCATCTATTGATCAATATTCTATTCATTGATCATAACAACCAAAGATTTTGTCTCATCAATCAATGAAAACTCCCACTATAACATTATAATCCCCTTACCCTCATATATATATAGCCGTTTGGAGTGCTGTTACATGTTTCGTTGCCTTACTTTCTAGCTAGAACTGGATTTCTCAACTTATAAAGTAAAATTCAAATTTTACAAATATTTTAATATATTATTGCTTTATATAATCAAACGCAAAATACTGTGCATTTTTCTTAATCTGCTTAAATGATGATAAGTCCCAAAATGCGCTGGTACGGTCGAGGGTGAGGAGTTCACTCTTCCTCTCAAAATGCTCTCACATATACAACTACTGCCAGCCAGGTCCTCCTTACTGCTTTCTCGTGATGTGGGTGTTTACGAAATTGAGGGAACGAAATGTGTATGAGACTATTATTCGTCACCGGTTACCATGGGACATTGTTCCAATGCCTTTAGACCTATAGATTAAATGCTCGAAATGTGGCCACCTAAGAAAGCCACATGCTTCGGCTTGGTCTCCCAAGCAGTATTCTAGCCATCATACAAATTGAATTGTGAAGTGTGTCGCATATATATTTGGTGCCTTCTTGTATCAATGTTTATGTGTTTAAATAAATAAATAATAAGAAGCTATGAAGAAAAAGTAGGGAATCTTGACAATTTAATGTTAATTATGCAACTAAAATCAACAAATTTAATAATATTGTAGGACAAGAGAACAAATGAATTATACTTTGACTAATTCACAATAAATTACTTATAATCACATTAAGAACAACAATAAAACAACAACCAGGTGAATGTAAATCTCATGACAAAATTTTAGTCAATCAGTTAGTTACAACGTAGGACCAGGCACATACATGCATCGGTCCAAGTTGCTGACAATATTTAATGATGCAAATTATATTTAATATAGAAGAATATGGTATGCAATGAAACATTTCTTTAACAATAAAACTCAATCAAAATTATTCACTTTATAATTAAATATCCATACATATTGACTGAATAAATCAAAAGAGTAAATCATTTTAATGCTACTAGTTTGTTTATTTCTTTTTGAAATTGTAAACAACTTCCAATCGATTTATATTTAGAGAAGTGTAGATTACAAAAACCTGTACTACATAAGTAAGATCAGGAAAATTAGTTTACGCGCTTATTTAAGTTTTTTTCTTTGTGGAATAATTCATCTCTAGTACTACTTTAGTTAAAGGACAAGTATACAGAGTAACATTTCGTCCCGTTTTACTTTACGGCTGGGAAACGTGACTTTTAAGGGTAGAGGATACTCGTAAGTTACTAGTATTTGATCACAGATATCTTGAAAATACTGCCAGAATCTGCTGGGTAAGTAATAGTGGAATTGAACACAGGGTATTAGGGAATGATGATAAATCAGTTGATGAGGTTGTGAATCTTTATTGATTGAGATGGTCGAGCCACATATTACGCATGCCCAATCACAAACTATCACGGCACGCAATGATGGCTAGTGTTGGAAACGGATAGAAGAAAAATAGAAGAGGCCAAACCAAAACGTGGTATCAATTCATAAAGTCACTAACTTCTGATCTGAGCCATGTTGGTAGATGCAGACTAATTGCTTAGAGTCCTCGCGACTATCGTAACCAATGGTTGGAGACTCTGCGTGACAGCTTAGAATCGATCACAAGGGTGTAGGTGTATACACTATTTGTCTTCCTTTAAATCATGAGATTAAAATTACTTGATACCTTTTTTATACGAACTAATTCTTTCACCCTGTATCATATCCTTATATGAAATGTTTTTTTACTACCATTGAAGTAACTGCTTCCATGAATTTGGTGTTCTTCTTGTTGTGTGGCAACTTGGACCGATGCATATATGTGCCTGGTCCTAAGTTGTAGATGACTGACTGACTGAATACTTCCTCAACTTTATGCACAAAATCTATTTTATGATTTTTGAGAGAGCAAGCGATGTAAAATTCACTCTTTCATATTTGTAAAACGTTCTGCAAGAATCAGATATACATGCTATTCCATAGTGTTATTAACAATAATCTACAGGATTGGCTTGTGCTGTTCAGGCTGCATAAAGCCTGGATGATGTCTAATTCCACAGAAAATTAATGTAAAACTCATCCGTTCCTGGATATATATTTAAGTGTGAAGTGAAGTGGTAGATCAGTAGTTAAGCCGTTCAACTTTTTTTTACCAAGATGTGGGTTCACAACCTACTACACTTACTTCAATTTTGCTAACCGGGTAGTTATTACTAACTCTTACATTTATAATACTGAAGTATGGATCAAAGTCAAGTACACAAATTTTTACCTATTGAGTGTTTCTGTCTTTTTTTAACTCAATGTGTATTGGTTTGGATTATCCTGTTGTTGATATTTTGAATGAAAATTGATCAGTATTGGTCGGTACATGTGTACCCTGTGAGGATTGCTTCCATAATAGAGCTACTATACAGAATATGAACTTGCATCGTAACAGGATATACATATGCATATATGTTCTTGGTCCTAAGTGGTAGCTGACTGACCGACTTCATCCTTCCAAACCTTATTCTCAGTATTCAGTCTTTCTCATTATCATAGTTGCTACATTATTTCTACTCCTTTGTTATTCATCTTATCATACTGAAGTGGTATGCTTAATATATATTTGTGCCAGACTGTGCGTTATTGATCAACTATTAACCGAATAGATTTTCTAAGAATCTATGAAGTTCAATTAACAAGAAAGCCTCTTTGTCATTACAGATTTATTTTTCAGTTATAGACCTTGTGATTAGGATGTACAGTCACCATTTATTGTAGAATAATCAATTTGAATATATATCCCAAGAAGAATGTCACCATACAGCTCAGAATTCGTATTTCACGTTGCAGTTTAAGACGGACTAAAACTAATTTACAGTGGAATATCCTATTATACAAAAAGGTACTGTTTATAAATTCGTCGATACTCATGTCTTCTCTTTCAAGCTTATTCATTATCCATGTACAATATATGATTGAGAATGTCGAGTGACATGATCCGAAATCATTTATATAGGTGTAGATCTACTTTCCAATAAATCCTACGTTGGATGTCATTTCAAAATGCTCATTTTTCTATCTCATCCACTTTCTTCCAAAATAGATTTTTCATACAGTTTTCTCTTGCAGGTGATATTATTTCATATCTCTTGCTCGGCATTTTGTTAATTTTATCTTTCGTTGTGCTAATGTTAGGTTTCACAATTAGAACTTATATACATTTGTGCATGGTTCTAAGCTGACAGTGTAGTAAGTAGTCAAAAATAACAAATTGTATACGTAAAAAAACCAACCTGAACAACTTTATGATCCGATAGTGCTCGAACTAGCTTAACTCCTGTGTCATCTCCTTCACGTCCAAGTTGTCCATTGGAGTTGCAGCCCCAAGTAAATAAAAGTCCATTATAAGTAATGGCAGCATTATGGTATGCTCCACAAGCTACGCTGATTATTCTGTAGTGTTCTAAAGCAACTACCTGAAGACGAAGCAAAAAATCAAAATACAATCAAAATATCATTTAGTCTTGATATGTAAGAATAACCGATTGTAAGCAAGGTAAACTAATCTACCTCCATAACACAAGTGTAACAATCTATTGGTTTTAACATTACATTAACCAGGCTAATAAGTGTCAATTATTAACATATATGGGATCAACATTTACAGTGCCTCATAGCATATATCTCAAAGGACTAAACAGATATTTATCCCCACTAATAGTATTAAAGCAATATGTGATGTACGATAAGCATATTCTGATTTTACGGACTCGGTCCAAGCTTATAAATAGCATTTAAGAGTAAAAGGTCATTAATAAATTTTTGGTGAAAAAGTCTAGTAATTATAGAAAAAATCAAATGAGGATCAAACTGTTTATCGTACTTTTTCATGAATATGATTTTAAACCAGTAAAAAAAGCGGCATATCAAACATATTCACCTAAAACTAAGTAATCTATGCACAGTGTATGAATCATTTTAATTTACTACTCATCAATTAAAAATAACTTAAAAATTAATAATAAATATCAAAAAAGTACATGAACATACTTTTGCTAACTGACCACCAGATTGTCCGTGACCTAACTGCTGAAACTCATTGCACCCACAGCTGTATACTTCCCCATCAACAGTTAGAAAGACTGTATGTGCGTATCCACAAGTGATTTGTATAAATGTTGGTAGATTCCGGACATCTAATGCTTTTGGGATAAGAATCTGATAGGCATCATTTTTATCTAAAGTTAGTTGTCCTTCTTCGCACGAACCCCAAGCGAACAATTCTTCTGTTGATGAAGAAACCATCAACTCGTCTTTACTCTGAAATTGAATCTTTTTAGATCAATCGTTGGTGAAACAAAAGGATCAAATAAAACTTCTTAATACAAATCTATTTTTAGGAGGCAGCAATGGAGAGTCTTAAAATACGTTCAGTAGAGAGACAGTGCAACGAATGGTATAAATTAGGTTTGGAAAGGTTAGTACCTTTCATGCACTAATAAAGGTATCTATGGTACAATAATAACGTCTACATGAACACACCTAAAGGGTGGAAAAGCAATCATATTGCTTTTTATGTCGTGAAACAACAATCTCGGTTATTTAATGGACATAATAGAAAAAGAATTCAAGGTTTTAAAGTTAAATATACATCATTGATTGACGCAGAAATCTACTGCATTCCGAGAAATGCGACAAAAACAATATCAGCTTACACTTTACTATTTCGATTAATACCAAATGCTCTGGTACAGTTGAAGGTGAGAAGAGTCCGCTCTTCCTCCCAAAATGCTCTCACATGGCCACACGTATACAGCTACTGCATCAGATGTCTTACTCATTGCTTTCTCGTTGCGAGGGTATTGGTTATGTCATTGGGAGGAAGAAAAGTGAATGTTTGGTGCTTTAACTGGGTTGGTGGGTATAGAGGATACATCTAATGGAGTTGGAAAACCCTGATACCAAAATAATGGTGCATATGGACCCCAGGATTCTGAGGGGACAAATGGCGTATGAACCTATTATTGGTCTCTGGCTACTATAGGACTCCATCTCTTAACGTTGCTCCACTATCTTTAGACCTATATATCAAAGGCTTGGACTGTGACCCCTACCTGCTACGATTCGAGCACCCGGGCAGTATCCCAGCTCTCACACAAATCAAATTGCATACAGAAAAAACACATTCACAATCATTTGATAACATTCGATTTTATTTCTTTTGTACAACGTCACTTATGTGCTCTCTTTTATTCGTATTTTATCTGTTAACTTATACGGTAGCCCACGTATGCTGGAAACCCTGTTCTATCTAAACGATCTTAAGTAACTGACAGGCCGAATGTTGAATGCTACTAGCGACTGTGAATGCTGAACCAGACTTTCTGAAACCACGTATACTACTCAAATTAGCCTCCTTCAACATCCACATACTAATGCAGGTCGGACAACAGATAGGGTTGGCTATGTCTTTAGAAAATTTTAACACCGATGTCTGTTGTCTATCCGGGACCCGTATTCGAGGTTCTAGTGAAGCACTACAAACTTGCTCTTCATCTGTCACTTCGGAAAGCTTGTTCCACGTGCGTTTATCCGGAGAACTTAGTGGCATATGAGTTTGATTTTGCTGGCGATGACGTTTCCCATAGCGCTAGAGCTAAAGCAGCACTGATCGGTCGTATCCCTATTAACAGTCAGTCATGTGCTGTTAGATTAGAAAGCTCCATCAAAGCTAGAAGAAATTGGTGTGAGAAACGATGTTATCGTTACTTTCGTCTACACCAACAGGTTGCAGCCCGTATGCGACCAAGGATGAGATTTACCACCAGTTAAGTGTTCTATGGAAAGTGCGTTCGACGCATATTGTAGTACTAGCCGGATACTTGAATGCTTATGGCGGGCATCTTGGTACAGAACAGTCATTTAGGTGTTCGATGGGGACTTGTTGGTCGCATGTCAGATAACGGTGACTGGAACCTAGTGCAGACTAAAACCTGTTTCTGGCTAGCACTAATTGCCAGCAGTCATAGCCGATGTGTCACCTGGTGTCCTCCCTCTGCATCCCGAAAATGGACTCGGAGTGATCATATCGTGATCGGTTACCGCTTGCGTGGTTCTGTACAAGACTACTACCTCTTTTAGAGCGCTTATTTAGACCCTGATTACGCCGTTATTTGAAAGTCTTATACTACGTTTCAGTGGGCCACAAATTCATTTCCATAAACGGATTAATGTCAGCAAATTGGTTGTAGTTTCTGTTGCAACTAAATATCAAACCGAGCTAGGTTCAAGACTAGCTACCATCCCAACATAAAGTACAAATGAGCATTGGTTGCAGATGCACGACGCCATGAAAATGACGACTAAAATCGCTCGCAGTTTTGCGAAACATCCCGCTTATAGGCAGTCGGTTTCTACACGCTCCTTATAATTCATTGAAGCACATAGGTCTACTCCGGGTGACTTTGAATTGAACCATAAACAAAGATTGTTATAAAGATGGTAGTGACTTTCTGGTTAAGAAACTGACAGTTGTTTACAAACGTCTGGCAATTAAAGGCTTCCAACATCATAAAATGAGTCGATGGTTGGTCCCATCTTTAAAATAGATTCACGTCGTTTCTGTAACAACTACCGGGGAATAAGTCTACTTCCGATTGCGTCCAAACCATTGGTTTCCATCATACTTCATAGACTGTACAGAACCCCAGAAAGATTGACCCGCTAGGAGCAAGCCGGTTTTTGTTCTGGCCGAGGATGTATCGGCCATATGTTCACCCTCCTCCAAATATTAAAACACTGTCATTGCCAATCTATGATGAGGTCTAGAGTGGAATGTCAACTTTCAATGCTGTATTACACGTTTATTACTATACTTACAATTACCACTTCACATCTATTGAACGTAGACCAATTAATTTTCACATACTTATATATCCATCTATAATCCGACTGTTCACAATTCATAGCCTGGACAGACTTTTCCCTATTATTTATTTGTTTGAACATATAGATACTGGTACAAGGGGGCACCAGATACATATGCGCCACACAAATCTCATTAGATTTGTGTGAGGCCTGTGATACTTCCTGGGTGCCCAAACCGAAAAAGGTGGTTTTCTTAGGGGGCCTAAAGGTCTGATCCACAAGGCAGTGTAGCATCATAAGGAGATGCAGTTCCATGGTAGCCGGTAACCAACGATTGGTTTATACCACATTTGTTCCTTCAGAACACTGGAGCCCATGAGCATCATTGGTTTGGAATCAGGGTTTTCCAACTCCCCTAGGTGGACTCTCCGTGTCCACCTACCCAGTTAAATCGATGGACGTTCGCTTTCCGTCCTCTCAATTTTGTAAACAACACCCCTGATGAGAGAAGGTAGTGAGTAGGACTTCCCTGGCAGAGGCTATATACGCGTAGCCATCTGAAAGCATTTTGAGGGGGAGAGAGAACCCTCCCCACTCTCGACCGTACCAGGGGATTTGGGGGCATTTTCCCTACACCATGAGATTCATAAAAAGGGATAACTCTAAAATCTTCTGAACACTGAGTTCACTGAAGTGACTAGTAAACACATACCGATTAGAGGTTACGCCAACCTGTTGCTAAATACTGTGTTCAACCTATCGATTACACAATTTAAATTAGACAAACTCGTCTCTTTAGACTGTATATAGCAGACAAACGGACACTATCTCGAAAACCTAAGTACAATCACTTATGCCTGAAACTGACAGCGCACTTCACGGACGAGTTAATCAATCAGTACCTACTATACTTTTAAGAGAAATGGATTTAATAAATAATAGCTGATGTCAGTTCAAGATGAAAAACGTACACCTAACCACGAACCAGCACTTTTACAACCCCGTGTTTTTGTAAGTGTCCGAACTTTCGGTTCTAGGGAATTCGTACGTTTTGGAGAAATTTTAGGAAATGGAAAGACAACCCCAAGATTTCCCCAAGTATGGGAAATTTCACTTGAGTTTTGGGAAATCCCCATAAGATTTTGATTTTTCCCCAGTATCACACCAGTATATACCCAAACGTCGGTGATAACTAAGAATGTTTATAAGGCTTTGAGAAACCCAAAAATTTACCCAAAATCTCCATGGAATCGGGAGATAGGGTGTTAGTGAATACGGAATATTTATACGCATTGAAACGGGTCTGTCTGTTTTCGACGCGAAAATTATGAAGAGCGACACAATTATTTCGAAAATTCCACTATTCTCCACTGAAGTGTCAAACATACAATCCTATGATTGGTTAATACAGAATAACACTCAACTTGATTGTACCGCAAAAATTAAAGCCCGCGGAGCTGACGACCTTGGATGCCTGAATTTCAGTTTATTAACCCAGCCGATTAAAAATACTGATATACTGGTTTTCAAGATTGGGCTATATATATCATCGAAAGTGTTCCGTATATTCGTAAAGGCGCAAATTGTACGGAGCAGTTGTACAAAGTGAAACTGATTTGTCTGCAGAATCTCAGTCGATGAGTACACATGACAACGTTTCCTGTTTAATTCACTTTTTTCTCCAGGTAATTTCCATTTACTTAAAGTAGAATTAAGATTTGTTAATCTTTCGGTGTTACCTCCCACACTCTTTGCTAGTGTAACTACATATTTTATACATTTAGTGTATTCATTTGTGTTTGCAATGGCATTGTAGCGGTAAATAAATCCCTAAAATAAATAGCTCTGTAAGTTTTCGACATTGGATGCTGACCATATGTTTTAGTGGACTCATCTAGCTGAAGGCGCTCGGTCAGGCATCTGCACCAGATCACGTGTGGTAACGCCGTGCTCAACATCAACCGCAATCGCTAGCCAGATTAGATCAGAGAATTCCGATATATTGGTCATCGCCAAATATACTCTTCCGATCTCCTCGACTCTGTCTTTTGATTTCTCTGGGCGGGAACGAAATATATTAGAAGGTGTTACTGGTAGAAGCGTTGTCAAACACTGAATACTTGTGACATTATCATTGGTGAAACCGACGTGATCTGGTACACCTTATTGCAACTGTGAGTCTGTTCCTTTTTGGGATTTTTATATATCATTGCCTTATTTTTTATTTTTTTTAAACATTGTGATTTTTTTTTCGTGCTTTTTCTTGGATATATATTTTTTCCCCTCGTTCATTATCATACTTAATATTTCATCATGACTGAACAGACACCTAAAGTACTCAAGCTTAAGACTTTGTCCCCGCCTTCGTTTCAACTGATTCCTTTCTGGCCCGACAACATCGAAGCCTGGTTTTGCTACGCAGAAGCCGACTTTTCCGAGCACGGCGTGATCGACACACGTGCACAATTCCTCGCAGTAGTCAAGGCACTACCGCGCGAATTCAACAGGTACGTAACACCTAGTATGTTTACTAGTGATGTTTCCGATCCTTACGAAATCTTAAAACGCTCGATTCTTAAACGAGGAGACCTAACCGATCGACAAAGGTTAGATGAACTCTTCAACAATATCGACCTGCAACACGGTTCTGCGACAGACATGTTGCAACGGATGAAAGAGATTATAGGCCCAAGAACTTTCGATGAAGGTCTATTCAAACAACTCTTCTTGTCAAAACTTCCCCAACAGGTGCAAGCAGTTCTGGTCTCGTTCCAGAACAACGCCCTAGACGAGCTAGCTGCATCTGCCGACCGCATTCTAGAAATTACGAAACCTTCTACTACCGAGGTATTTTCAGTCAAAGAAAAGCCTCACACGACTCAGAACGATATAACCGACTTATGTCACACACTCACGCGTTATCTTAGTCTTCGTACCGACCGTAAGAGATCACGCACACCATGTAGAAGCATTTCTCGTAAGCGATCTGTCTCTAGACCACGAGAGACAGATAACCCCGACTGGTGCTGGTATCATAACCAGTATGGAAAGTTTTCCAGAAATTGCAGAAAACCCTGCAATTTTCCCAACACGAAACCGACTGATTCGAAAGACAATTCGGGAAACTTCCAAGCCGGCACGCGTTAACGGCAACCGTAGCCGGCGAACAAAGCCGTCTGTTATTCGTCACAGATGTGACAACGAGAGTTCGCTACCTCGTCGACACTGGCGCAGAAGTTAGCGTTCTCCCAGCAAATCCTAACGATCGACTACACGAATCGACCCTAAACTTACAGGCGGCAAACGGAAAACCGATCGCTACGTATGGCAAAAGGTACGTTTACCCTAACGTGGGTTTACGCAAACCCATTCACTGGATCTTCGTTGTTGCAGATGTTTCTATGCCAATCATTGGTATGGACCTTCTACAACACCACAATCTGATCATCGACACTCGCAAACGGAGGCTAGTAGACGGAAACACTAATTTGTCCGTTTGCGTAACTTCTTTTACTGGTTGCAGAGTATCCCCAGTCACAGTTAACCATATGATAGACCCACTCTATCAACCACTACTAGATAAGTACCCTGAGATACAACAAACTCAACCGAAACTACCGTGTGTAACCAGCAACGTTACACATCACATCACGACTACAGGACCACCTGTATTCTCTAAAGCACGACGACTAGCTCCTGAAAAGTTAAGGTTAGCCAAAAACGAATTCGATCACATGATGGACTTAGGAATCATACGACCGTCAAGTAGCCCATATGCATCTCCGTTGCACATGGTCCCTAAAAAGGACAGCAACGATTGGCGTCCAACTGGTGACTATCGGCGATTGAACGCGAAAACCATTCCCGATCGTTACCCGTTGCCTCACATTCACGATTTGACAGCTACCTTGAAAGGTACAACTGTCTTTTCGAAAATCGACTTGGTTAAAGCGTATAACCAAATCCCTATGGCTACTGACGACATACCGAAAACGGCTATCATAACTCCCTTCGGACTCTATGAATTTTTGCGAATGCCTTTCGGTCTAAGGAATGCTGCTCAAACATTCCAAAGATTCATAGACGACGTTTTTCGAGGCCTCAACTTCGTACACGCGTATGTTGATGACTGTCTAATCGCAAGTCCGGACAGAGAAACACATCTCAAGCATCTGGATCTTGTTTTCGAACGACTTCAAAAACATGGCATAACTGTAAACGTTCAGAAATGCCAATTCGGAACCGACTCGTTAGACTTCCTAGGACACACTATCGATGCTCAAGGCATTCGACCTTTTAGGACCAAAGTGGCGGCCATTCTGGATTACCCAGAACCGACCACCGTCAAGCAATTGCGCACGTTTAACGGCCTGGTAAGTTTCTATAGACGTTTCATACCCAAATGCGCATTACTTATGAAACCTCTGACCGACCAACTTCGTGGAAATGCGAAATCCATTCATTTGGACGACACCGCACGAAAAGCATTCTTCACAGTTAAGGAACTGATTGCTAAAGCAACAATGCTCGCACATCAGGACACCCGAGCACCCATTAGCATCGCAGTAGACGCATCCGACTCAGCAATCGGAGGAGTCTTACAACAATGGGTTAACAACTCCTGGCAACCCTTGGCATTTTTCTCTAGAAGGTTGCTAGACACCGAATCGAGGTACAGCACATTCGGTAGGGAACTCCTAGCTATGTATTGTGCTGTACGGCATTTCCAACACTACATCGAAGGTCGTGAATTCACTCTTTTCACGGATCATAAACCGCTTACTTTCTCGTTAAGCTCTCCTTCTGACAAGTACTCTCCCCGTGAGTCTCGACAACTGGACTACATTTCGCAGTTTACTTCAGATATTCAACACGTCTCTGGAGCAAACAATGTAGTTGCAGACGCTTTATCTCGTATAACTTCCTTGAACAGTTTCCAAGGAATCGACCTTCTTAAACTCGCCGAGCTTCAAAAAGAAGACAGTGATCTTCAGCACGAGTTATCGTCCACAACACTTAAACTACGCATCAAACAGATGGGAACAGGTAAGGAAACCTTACTTTGTGACACATCTACAGGTAGGGATCGCCCAATCGTGCCGAAACATTATCGACGCAATGTCTTCAACACATTGCGCAAACTTTCGCATCCAGGTGTTCGTGCAACCATCAAGCTTATAGCAGAACGGTTTTGCTGGCCTGGTACGAATAAAAACGTGAGGGAGTGGGCACGCTCCTGTTTAAGCTGCCAAAAATCTAAGGTCATCAGACACAATAAATGTCCCTTAGGCTCATTTAAAACTCCCGATGCTCGTTTCGACCATGTTCATTTGGATTTGGTAGGACCGTTACCAGATTCAAATGGATACTCTTATCTCTTAACCTGCGTAGACCGTTTCACTCGATGGCCAGAAGCAGTACCTATCAAGGACATCACTGCTGAAACAGTGGCCCGCACCTTCGTCGAACTATGGGTAGCAAACTTCGGCTGCCCTTCAACCATCCCTACAGACCGCGGACGTCAATTTGAATCTGATTTTTTCCGTCGTCTGACCACTCTTTTAGGAAGCACTCGCTTCCGAACGACCGCCTACCATCCACAAGCAAACGGGTTGGTAGAACGTTTTCACCGACAACTGAAAGCTTCTCTATCAGCTGCAAACGTTTCACAGTGGACCGACGCTCTTCCACTCGTCTTACTAGGTATCCGCAATGCAGTGAAAGCTGACATTGGATACACTGCGTCTCAACTCGTTTATGGTACGACACTTCGACTTCCAGGAGAATTCGTGGATCCTTCATCCTCTTCAATGAACATGGATCTAACCTCCTACACGAACAGGCTTACAAACGCAATGCGTTCAGTTAAACCTGCTTCCACTCGACCACAATCAACTGATGTTTTCGTTCAACCTGACTTACGATATAGTACACACGTTTTCGTTCGTCGAGACTAGCATCGACGACCATTCGAATCAGCATACGAAGGACCCTTCAAAGTTCTTCAACGTGAATCTAAGTACTATATAGTCGATAAGAACGGAACCAACGATAGCATCAGCATCGATCGCTTAAAAGCAGCGTATTTAGAAGGAAATCCTATCTACGTGGATTTTCCTTCGGTACAATCGAACGACACGACTCCGACACTTATAATACCTCATTCGACAACCAACACACACGATGATACTTCGACAGTATCCGAAAATAAACTTAAAACGACGCGTTCTGGAAGAAGGGTGAGATTTCCAGAACATTTAAACGACTATTGCACGTAAGGTACTTCTCGACATTTTATATTATTTTAAAAAAAAAACAATTTTAATATGCTTATATATTTTTATTTCTATCTAAAAAAAAACAAAACCAAAAAAAATCAATTTTTTTAAACGCTATTACGTGTTCATGAGTTTATTTTCCATTTTTTATCCGCCGACATTGTGCTTTTACGCA